TCTCTCTCTCTCTCTCTCTCTCTCTCTCTCTCTCTCTCTCTCTCCCTCTCTCTTTCTACATTTTTCGAGCGGGATTCCTACCGCCGAGTCAGTCACTCGAATTCGAGTGACTTCTCACTAATGCAGAAGGAATTCTCCACTGTGGGTCGTCCAGTGAATATTTTCACTCGAAACTGATGAACGAGTCTGATGTATCCCATTATAGCAGGAATATCATCGGTTTAATTGATTGAAACATTCGTATGAAGTCAGAATATTCGAGATCGAGTAAAACATTCACTCTTGCTATTTCCAATGGCAGCAATTTCTCTGTCGGATGAAAGCTCTTTGAAAGTACTCTACATTCAAGAGTGGTATCTTGTTTAAAATGAGTGAAAAGTGACAACATCTTCACTCAAACCCACTCTACACTGAGAGAAAAAATAGTTGGAATAATTATAATCTCACTATATTTTATAGTTCGTTTTGGCCTCAAACATATATTTATAGTTTATCTAAACATGAAGATATAGTAGAATGAACACAGATTTATAGTCACCATCTTATTACTCTATATATATGGTAAAGCACCTTTTGGGAATATAGTTACATGTACCTATATTTGCCAAATATTCCAATTGTATTGACTATATAAAATAGTTAATTTCTCTTACCATTCAATATTTGCCACCTTACCATATTTTTTATTTCAAATAATTATATATATAATTCTTGGTAAAAATTTTACACGGGTCAGTTATACTATACTTATATTGTAAATATTACAAATATTATGGTAACATTTACTATAAAAATTATATTCCTAACTATAATATTTTTACTATGCCATTATAGTTCCAAATATCATACATTTTTCTCTCAGTGTAGTAGAATTTTCATGCTAGATGTATAATTTTTTACTAACGTTACCATCACTGCTCTTGTTTGTGTAAAAATGAATGAAGTTCACATGAAATTGTCCAATTATCCTAACAAAAAATTAATGCAGTTTCGAATAGTTAAACTAGCTAGTTATTTTCAGGTTTTTCGCCTTTTACATAACATCTTTCACAACCATTAAGTGATATATGTCTTTTTATCTATTCTTGCAGTCGTATTATTTTATCATTTCTAAGTCGTAGCTATCATGACACTTTTCATTCGTATCTTTACCATCAGAGTAGTCTGATATGTTCTTATCACAGTGAAATTCTGTATATTATTAATATATCTCATTTATCTTTTGTTCATTTTTATTTCTAACTTTCGTTGCAATCTTTTTCAAAGACTTGATATTGTCAAATATTTTATTTCCTCCAGTTCCTTTTTTGTTCTATACTTTTCTATACGTTCATTCATTGTTCGCGCAATTTCAAGTTCTTTTTTAACAATATAAATAGATATGTTTGAATTTATTCACGTTGAACATTGTTATACATGCACATTATAAAACTGCATTAATATTACTATGTATTGGGGAAAATCGGTTCCTTTTATCTTTCCTCTTTCTATCTCTTCATAGCTGTCCTTATTTCCTCTTTATCCTTTTTTCCCCAGTTTTCTTCCATATATCTTCTTAGTTTCATTACTCCACTCTATATTTCCTACTAGCTCCATGAAGTAATTCCTCTGCCTTTCTCTTCACTTTATATATCTCTCCTTCAGTTGACATCGCTAAGAAGAAATTTTCCATATCCTATAACCTTGTTCTTTGCGCTTCATCCGTATTACTTGCACAGTATCTGTCTCATCAGTCATCTTTCTTCCGTATAACTTTATTCTACTTTCTTATCCCATCCGATGATCAAATTTTTCATATTTATTATGTTCTCTTCTTTTTCCTTTATCCCTTTAGTGTATCTCTACATTACCCTAACTACCCGTTCTTTATGAAGCCATAAGTTCTATTCCCTATGCACTTTTTCCGTCTTGAACTCTGCTTCCCTGTTTAACGCTTTGTTTCGCCTTCACTTACACATTATCTATGTGCTCATTCCTACATAATTTTCCCACTATCTAATCCCCCTATACTTAATTCAGTACGCTGAAATCATTCCAAACTCACGCATTATGTTAGTCAAGCATCCACACATTTGCACGCCATTTAACCAAGTTCCAATCCTTATGTAGTATTTTTAAAACTGGTAAGAATGCTTGAATACCAGACAGTAATAACTGGTTATTACGCAAACTGCATACACGTCTAGCAAGATAGAGTGGATTATTAGTCCATACAAATGAATGTCTCGATCGATTAGAGTGTATTTATCCCTGCGAAAGTGAAGCACCGTCAGATTTATTCTTTCAATCCGCGTGAAGATCTTCGCTCGACGATGCAGGTGGAGAATTGTTTCTGCACGTGAGCGAAAAGTTACTCAAACTCGCTCGAAATGATTCGACCGTCACTCTACTTCTCGAGTGAAATTTCGCTCGAGAAGATTAATTTAAATTAACTTAGGGAATTATACATCGCAAGATGTCTGCGCGGAAAGTTGTTCGATTTCGTCATCAGACAGCTTTTTTTCAGGCGAATATCCCGACGCGGCGTAATTATCGCGCGTGGAAGGCCCCGGTCTCTTGTCTCGAATTGCGGGTCGTCTAAAGTAGGCTTCAAACTTGTCTCTAGCTCATTATCCCGCCGAGAGAGAAGCCGTGTATTCCGCGAGAGCGAATGAGCGGCGCCGCGAATATTCCGTATAACGGACGGACGGCGAGACGAGCGCGACGCTGGGCGCGATTTGCATAATTAATAAGAATATCTCAGGCACGCCGGTGAGATACGCTGGTACCGATTGACGTTGCACGTTGCTGAGCAGAACGGTCAGATTAATCGAGCGTCGACGGATGTCGTTGAAATATTCCCTACTCATTCACGCGATGCGTATCTGTGTGGGAACGAGTTCTTTTTTTCTCTGTCTCTCTCTCTCTCTCTCTCTCTCTCTCTCTCTCTCTCCCCACTTTCGATGCTGAGACTTCGACGTTGCTGCCGACACGCCACGGCACGATAAATATTAATTAGGCTTCACTCGAAGCCGTCCGCGGATTAGATACGTTCTTTTTCGCATCCACGTGTGTGGAATGACAGGCCGAGCTATGCCGAGCGTAGTGTAGATTAGGTAATAACCGAGAATCGTTCGAATAACAGTATCACCTCTCGACGTTCGCCGGGATATTCATATCCCCGGTGGCGATAAAATATCAGCCTGAACTCCGTCCTGACGGCGCGCGCGCGTCGCCGTTCAAGTTACTCCGAAGATATCGAGGATGCTGAAGAATCAATTCAGCTGAGAATTCGCTACTACGATCAGTATTATAATCACAGCACTTCGACTGAAGAGGCTTTCGATCGCTTTGGGAGCGACTAATGATGTCATAGGCTTGTAATGTCATTACACGCTCTCGCAGTGATCCAAACCCGCCGAAAACGCTGTTAAGGGAAGGTGCTGACTCAGATAGTCGAGAAATAGGAGGTTTACTCGAATTTTTTCCAAAGAAATGAATAAAGATATCGATATAGGATTTTGACTATACCATTTATCACTGTTTTAAATATAGTAAAATTATTTTTTATTTAGAAAACAATTGATATTTCATCGTTCAAGTTCTTGTGCTTGTAACGTCATTACGCACTGAGAAAAAATTTATTAAATTTCAAAAAACATTTGTTTGGATACAACTGTGAACATATTTGTTGAAATTAAATAATTGTCTCCTAAAATCGAAGAAAGAAATTCATATTTAAAATTTCTTTATTCAATTTTAGAAAATAATTACTTAATTTAAACAAATATGTTCACAGTTGTATCCAAACATTTTTTAAAATTTAATAAATTTTTTTCTCTGCAGTGATCCAAATCCGTCTAAAACTATTAAGGGAAGATACTGACTCCGATAACCGAGAAATAGGAAGTTTTTTTGAATTTTTTCCAAAGAAACGAATAAATATATCGATATAGAGTTTTTACTATACTAATTATCACTGTTTTAAGTATAAGAAAATTATTTTTTATTTAAAAAACAATTGATATTTCAACGTTCAGGTTCTTGTACTGAGTCCGCTGTAACGTTGTCCATCAGCTAGAGTGCTGTTAGGCGACAGTGCATTCAGCACAAAAGACCTGAATGTAGTTTCCATCTCTTTCTTCTTTTTATAATTTCTTTGAAACAACAATAAACAGCGTGGCTAAGACTTTATACTGATATCTTTGTTTGGCACTTTGAAAAAAACCGTGAAAACCTCCTATTTTTCGGTTATGTAAACTGAAACTTTCCCTAAATCGGTTGGCCAACCGGCGATTTCGCGATATCATTTGTTTGAGATCTCATCTCTCATACAATTCGCGTTGCTGTTTCAGCGATGAGACGACGCGGCACCACTACTATCTGCAACTGCGCGACAACGTCGTCAGGCATGGTGGCGGGGTGGAGAGCCTTCATCCTCACCATCCCCTTCACGAACCATCCATCGTTACGCCTCTGCTCACGCTCGCTGGGCTCGCCCTTCAAGCCGATCTTGGCGACTATTCCGAAGAACGGCACAGACCACACGCAGGATCTGTCGGCTACTGTAAACCCTCGGATTACCTTCCTCCCCACGTAAGTTGGATCTCCCGATTGCGACGTTTCATCATCTTCGACTTTAGTCTTCGATTTTGTCGTTACGGCGCGCTTCAATCGCAAACTATCTGCCTTAAAAGCAGATCGATATTGGCATGTCAATGGCGGCACCTGGCATCAGGTGACGCGACCAATTAAACCCAATAAGGAAAGTAAGAAAATATAAAAAATTGAAGGAACATAGAATCTTGCGTGCAGAAGATAGCTATAGCGATTGATGGGTCCTCTCTTCCGTTTCTACGCGCTACGTTTCTACATATAAAATGTCTTATATTTCTAATAGCGTGTTCGGGAGCTTAATTAAAGTTGAAATGTTAAGGCTATCTCATAGCCGGTTCGTGTATGTCCGTTCGAGAATGTGAGAAGCTACGTATTGATCTTGATATTTATGACTTCCGCCGCGAAATGGTTAAGATAAATTACCGCCTCTCATTAAATCGTGTATAAAGTATAATTAATTGCATTTGAAAAGTCGATTATACGACCAATGGGTGATCAATGAAACAAGTTAGAAGACACACACACACACACACACATACACACACACACACACACATATGCTTCTCGAGTTACATTTATTTATCGTATCTTTGATAATTCAATCGTTATCAGGTGAACTTGTGTATAATCAACGCGTTACATGAGACATTTGCGCTCAAACTTGCTTAATTTCAGCATCCAACGTTTCTCTCGCGAATTCAATGAAACGTATATATCAAATTAATGCAAAAGATTTGTCTTATTTATCCAATAAAATAAAGAGCGAAACTATCCAAAATTTCAAAGGATCATTTTTAATAAAATGAACGACATTCACTAGATATTTTTTCAGATACTTAATGAGGATTTCTACTTTTCTTATGATACTCAAGCTTTCTAGTTTAACCCGGCGTTGGTAAGGTGAGAAAATGTAACAATAGTAGTAAGGTGGAGTCCCACAGATCCCACTAAGTATTGCAGTGTATTATAGAAATTCACATCTTTTTAATCAATATTAGATTACGTATTGTTTAAGTATCCTGTAATTTTACAGAATAAAACCGTACACGCAAAAAAAATTTCAGTTGATGCAACCAAATAGGAACCAACTGAAAATTAAGTGATCAGAAGCGATATTTCTGTTATGAAAACTAATATTTCTGTTGTCGCAACCGAAAATATTCGTCCGAACATTCAACGATATTAGAACTCGGCAACTGAGGCAACTGAACAATTGACTATACAGAAGCCTCATAAAAGAATTTTTCTATTTCTACAGCCGAGTTTTCGCCTGGTCCCTCAGCAACTGAAAATTCGGTTGCGCCAACAAGAATTGTTTTTTCCGTGTAGATCCACAAAATTAAGTTTTTACTACCCAAAAATACCACTTACTGCTACGCGTTGTTAAGAAGTTATAGTCAATTTAAGATCTTCGGAGTCTGTGAGAGACCCGCCTTACTAACGCCGGGTTAAAAATGACAAATCTTCTACCCAATAACTACCCAACCTAATAACTTGACTTTGATCACGATCCCGAGGTTGAATTGAAACGAACGTTCTCAGATGTGCCACGAGTCGAATGTGCTCGCCGTGCTCGCGGCCCAGCACAGGGACAACAGTGGGCTCTCCAGGGAGGAGGCAGAGTTGCAGTACATTCGGGAGGCGGTGCTGCTGGAGGCGCCGCTCAACGCTCACCTGTATCGGTTGCGCCGAAGCAAGAACGAGCCGGGACCCGGACGTATACTCCTGGCGATATGCGCTCGCGGGGTGCGAGTCTACGCCGAGGAGGAGACACCGCGCATTTTCGCTTGGAACAATATCGGCAAACTCTGCTTCGACGTGAGTCAACGACCGCGGAGTCACGCATCCCTCTCCCTCTCTCTCTCTCTCTCTCTCTCTCTCTCTCTCTCTCTCTCTCTTTCTCTCTCTCTGTATCTCTGTCTCTCTTTTTCTCTTTAACAGACACGTAGTTCTTATACAATCGATTTAGCATCTGAACATGGACTTAAAACTTATAATCTTAAATACAAAATCCATGTATATTTTAATCATTTCCATTGTTTGCTCAGACATTTCTTTTATTTTTCTTTCGTACAGCGTAAAAAGTTCGAGATCCGTGCAGTCGATCAGCCGGATAAGCTCACCCTCTACAGCGGCTGCGATGACAAGAGCAAGCTTCTCTTGGGACTTTGCCGTGACACCCATCAGTTTTCCATGGCTATAGCGCCTAGAGTGAACGAAGCCAAAAGGCGGGAGGAGGAAGGTGAAGAGAAAATTGATGTTACACGATTACAAGATGTGATGCAAGGTGATCTAATCGCACGAACGTGGTTCACAGAACGGAAAGTCCTAAGGGACTGTTACATGTACCCCGCCCGATGTAAACTGAACTTGACGACGCGCGGTGCACGCGGTGATCAGCGGATTTCCGTCATCTCGAGCACATCCTCCAACACGACGTCCGGTATAGTGAGCGATCGAGTGCACAGCGAAGACGAGCCCGACACCGCTCCGGCGTCGACCGAGTGTTTGCCGCGTCTTACCGAGACGCCGCCCTATTCGGCCACTCAGGGTAGAGTTTTAAACGGCAACAATACGGATAATCATTCTATGCCACCTTCTCCTGTTTCTATCGTCGATGGTAAGCCAATAACCTTTTCTTTGTTCTCTTCTTGTAACCAAGTTCAAAGCCATAGGACGTTCTGAAGGAACGCACGTTGAGTTGAAGGAATAATAGGACAAAAAGAGACGTTAGAAATGTGAAGAGACGGACCAATGTGATTGCAGGTCAATTTTCAGAAGTGGATGGCGCAGATAATACTCCCACGTCAGTGGCCTTGCGACTCGCGTCGAGTACTGCAATGGCCGCCGAAGGTTCGCAGTGCAGCAGCAGCTGCAGCACTGTTGTCGTCGTGAATACACCCGCGGGTGGACCGTCGCGAATACGCCGTGCCTCGGCGACCTCCAGCTTGGAGCTGGGCTATTCGCACACGGCACAAAACTCCGCAGTCTCCTCGGAGACCGCCAGCTTTCCAGGCGCCATTTATGACAGGTGCAAGAAAACCGGCAAGTATGCAGGTGAGCAGAAGAGGAACAATCTGAAATGAGAATTTAACAAATAATGCCAAAAATAATAAATCTCTTACATATGTCGTACATTTATACATTATCGTTCGTTTGGATTTAATAAAAAATTAAAGATTATTTAAGATTTAATTAAGATTATTCTATCTTATATGAAATTATTCCTTTTTTTTTATTTTTTTAACTAGAACAATTGTGGTAAATGTCTTGCATAAACAGTATAAAGTATCGATGAGATCCAAACCATTATAAATCTGTCAGGTACCGATATCGCAAGTGAGACTAGCGGCGTGTATACACTGAGAAGCAGCGAGATGCAGGACGAGAGAATCGGCGACGACTTGTATTCGCCTACGGGCGACACCAACGACTCCTCGGCGGCGAGCGACGTATGCGGTCTGAGCTCGGTTCAGTCCACCACCGACGAGGCGTCCGTCACGTCCGGCTTCTACACTATTCACAGCGGGCTGCGTTCGGAGAGCAGCGACGTATACACCGAGGACGTCGGCACAGAGCCGGATGATCAGGAGCCGATTTACAGCGTGTGCAAGGGCGACGACGACGGGGTTTCTTTGAGCCAGCAACTCGAGGATTCGCGGTCGCGCAGCAACAGCATACTCAGCGCAGGTAGCTTCCGCGGCGATGGCAGCGATCCGTCCAGTGTGCGACCGCTGTTGTCGGCTGACGAACTGTCGGATCTGATAGTAGGCAGATATCCACCGCGTAAAACCATCAGCAGCTCGATGGACTCGGACTGCGACTACGTGACTATGCCGTTGCCGTTGCCACCGCCACCGCCGCCACCACCGCCGCCGCCCCGAACGGACAGCGACCGACAAATGCTGCTGTTGCCGCCGCCGCCGCCGTATCCGGTGAATATCGAGCCGTACGCGACGATCAACATTCCCAAGAGACCGAGTGTGCAGCTGGAGCTGGACCGCGAGCGGGAACGGGAACCGCCGCCACCGCCACCACCGTATAACGCGGCACGCGGCGGCAATGATTTCGTGGTGCCGTTACCGCCCAGGCGAACCGATCTGCCGCCGCCACCACCGCCGTACACCTCACCGCGAGAGAGGATCCAGATGCCGCCGCCCACACCGCCACGGAACGATGCAGTGACGCCGCGGGAGCCACCGCCACCTCCGCCACCTTACCCTGATGTTGTCGCGACGACGCAGGTCGGCCCGGTCGTCTCGAGGATCGCGAAGACCATCGCCGTGGACGTCGCGGCGACTACGACCGCGCCTAAACCACCACCCAGGATACAACCACCTACTTATCCCGGTGACAAGATGAAGCCCACGCCGGTGCATGCTCCGGTGGCCGCTCTTGTGGTAGGTCCGAACAATTACTTGGACGTGCATGCCTCACGAGGCGGTCCGGTGCTTCTGCCGTACTTGACATCACCGCCACCACCGCCACCGCCACCTCCACCACCGATGGTGCATTCGAGGCAACCGCCACCGCCACCGCCGCCGTCTCAGCAGCAACAGCAGCCAGCGACTCCAGCATCGACGCTGTCATCCGCTTCCAGTCTGGCGACTGTTTACACAAGCCAGGTCGCCAGGTCGCAGATAGAACAGTACAAGCAGCAATTGTATTCGGACGTCGATTACGTCATGTTCCCGCTCAAGGATCCGGCTGTGTCTAAGCAAGAGTATATCGATGCCAAGCAGGGCTCTCTCCTGGCAGCGATGGCGGCCTACCCGCCGCCGCCGTATCCGTCCTTCAGTAAGTCCTCGGTGATGTATCGCAGCACGCCTTACTTACCCGGTGCCTCTTTCTCCTCGCCCCCGTCCAAGTACGCGTCCAACCAGAATCTGAGCAGCAGCGACGCCAGTTCCGCCGGCAACTATCTGCTGCACAGCAACCTGAGCAGCCACTACGCCGCCAGTACCAGCTCGCTGTACAGCGGCACGACCTGCTCGTCCATCGGCAGCCACAGCCACAGTCTCAGACGGGAACCACCCGCGCCGACTCACCCGCACACCCTGCATGCGTTCTCGCGCACCAGGAGCGACGAGAACATCCTCAAGTGCTTGGACACTCCGATCTCTAGTAAGATGCAGTCTCTGCCGCAGCCCAAACATCGCAGGTTACCACCACCGCCACCGCCGCCGCCTTACGAAATACAGGTAACGAAACAATTATAAAAACATATCAAAGAACTATCAGATAAAGTTGGAGAAGTTATCTTTTAAAAGCAACTCGTTATCCATTTTGAAAAATAACTCATTGTCGTTATTCATTATTACTATCAAACTCATTATTGTTGGCTTAAGAAGTAACGAATTGTCACAATTTCTGTGGCTTTTTACTATTGTTTTCATTCCATATAGGAAATAACGTATTACTTGCTATTGGCACAATTTAAATTTTACTTATCGACTTTTCTAATTCGATATCCTTGACGCGGAAAATACGCTTTGTTTTAGAATCTGGAGATGAATCAACCTTTGCCATCGGCTTCCTCGGTGGGAGCGTCCACGTCGACGGCCGCTACGACAACGAACAAATCGAGTAAATCCAGCAACGGTACGGAAGAGAGCGATGAGGGTAAGGACGACGGTATGCTCGATATCCGGACGCTGCGGGAGAAGAGCCGGAATCTGGACCTACCGTTGATCTCCGCGCTGTGCAATGATCGGTACTTGCTGAAGCAGACCAAGGCTTTCGTCCTGCCGAAGCATCCCAGTGAATCGTCCACCACCTCCAGTGCCGCCGCCGCCACTAGTACGAAGAGCAGCGCGCGAAACGGCAACACGGCGACCTTCAGTAGGAACAAATATCCGGTAAGTGGACTGTCGACGACGCAGATCCAGAAGCCACCCAGAAAGTCCTCGGCCAGCACGCACAAGCATCCCTCTGAGGCGAAGGGCAACGCTTACAGGGTCAGCGCCTCCTCCACGGCGGTCTCGACGGCTAAGAAGGACTTTGCGAAAACGTCTCATTCCTAACGCTCGCTCTTTATCTCTCCCCCATCTCATTCTCTCGTCTATCTAGAAATTTGTAGCTCCGAGTAAAACGTACATTCCACAATCCCGACTTTATCGTTGCGCGCGCGCGCGTTACCATCTTGTCGGCCGACGTTTTGCAGATAGAAACGATGTTCTGGGAAAGGACGTGTCCCGATGGTAAGTTACTTAAATATCGTTTCCGCAGAACCGTGCTTCTTCAACTCAGGGTGCCATCTCGTTCGTTTAACGTTCTCTCTCCCGGTCACCGGATACTCTCGAAAGCTCCAACGAAATGTACAACTATAGATAATCGTTCGTTCCAAGCGACGGAAGTACTCAAGCCGCCTGAATCGCTCTCATCGACGGTGACGATGGAACGCGAAACACTTCAATCCTTCGTTCTCTTTGTTCTTGCAACATTGATTCTGTTTTTTTCCTCTTCAATTACCATCTCTCGTGTAAAAATATTTAAGTACTTGAGCTTTAGTACTTTAGTACTTTGTGTATTTAAAGTGTCTACTGCCTCTTGCTCAATTGTACGGCTGGTGCGATGGAAATTCGATTTGCAAGCCCCAATAAAGGCGGCGCTAGTCCCGCTTTAGGATAAACCATACGTTTATTGGCCACCGTATGTAACGATCGCAGCATCGACCGCGCGATCACCGAGTCTGCTGCAGACATTGCGTAAAATCTGCTTTTGCAAATTTATTATCTAGGCAAATTTACAAGTTTTTCAACCGGAAGAATCTGAACGATTCTTCCCATTTCTTCCTCTTCACGCGCGCCAATTGCTCGAATTATAATGAGATCGTAACACAGTCGCGCGCTGACGCATCGTTTCCGATTCCACGACGAGAAAGACAATAAATATCGCTCCTCGACGGCCAATAATGATATAGTTTACCCTACTTATGTCGTAAAAAAGGAAACGACTTCCTTAGGTATCACGCGGAATACATTTATTAATATATTCCGGAAGAAACATATATCATTATTGTAACTAGAGAAATAGTACCTATTCTAGGATGTCTCTGGCAAGTAATATTTATTACCGAGCAATAGTTTCTCTCTCTCGTCTCTATACTTTAGTATTCCAATCAGCGCTCGCTTTATATTATCGTTATTTCCGAAACGTTTTATGTAAGTGCGCATAAGGTGTTGTTAGTGTAGTCGACTACTCTTCTACTTTTTGTAATCGATGTAATTCGATACTGTGACGATGTATCAAAGAAAAAAAGGAAGGAGGAGGGGTAGAAATTCTAATTTAGTAGCGCAACGAAGGGATTGATACGCGTTCGAATTTGTTGTACTTGAGATCGCTGTAATTTCGTCGTTCTTTTTTTTCTTTCGCTTCTTTTTCTAAATCAGTGCCAAGTATCTAGTAAATACTTATGTACTGAAACGGCGCAAATTTGTCTATAGTCCGGTTCATAACCCGAAACGTAAGATCGACTTTACTTCGAAGAATTCTTCGAGGCGGCGTAATTCTTCGGTGACAATTTTCAGCGCGAAGCAACAATTTAGTCATAAAATTGAGACCTACACTAATTGTCGTTAGATTTTAATGTTACATTACGAATCCCACGTCTGTACATAATATAGCGCGACATTATAGGATTTGATATATATAAATATATATAAATATATATAAATATATATATATATATATATATATATATATATATATATATATAGGCAGAAATCTTGTGTATGTACCTCAGCTACAGATAATAAAATCTTTTCTAACGAAGACCACTTGTTGAAGCAGAGTTTGTATTATATTTACGAAGACTGGATAATTCATCGTCGGCTGGGAAGGAGTTTCCACGTCAGTAAATAGAGGTAATTTATTTGACTTTCTATTTGGTTTGATTCTTGAAAAATAACAATTCATCTAACCCGCCGTTGTATCGTACTATTCAAAAGAGAAGATTTGAATTTGTCTTCAAGAGAGCGGTATTTTTAATGTTTATAATTTCTCTTGGGTCCTTAGTCTCAGCTCTCAAGCCCTTTTATCAGTAAATATGTCTCTAAAAACGGTTTATAATTAATCGGAAGGTTTACAAAGCACTTTTAGTAGTAATTATTGATAAAAGAGAAATCAGAATGAGGATTTAGTCTCGAGTTCTTCTGAGACTTCTTGCTATTAAGTTAGTCTAATTGAAAGCTCGTAGCTGAGACTTGGGAACAAAGAAAGCTGAATAACGGCCTGCTTGGCGCATTTAACGGTTCATAAGAAATTACACACTATTAGCAGAGAGAAGTATGAGAACGGCCACCAGCCTGATTTCAATGGGGTTAGGCGACAGTTTCCCGAAAAGTGGAAGGGATAATGTTGGTACCAAGAGAAATCTCTACACGATATAATTTAAAGATCTGTTTTTTGTAACTGCACTGCTGAACTAATGCAAAAGGTTAGAGTGAGAAAATGTATACTTGCCTTATTTCAATTTATTGCACCAATTTAACAATGCAGTTACAAAGAACAGAATCTTTAAATTATATCATATAGAGATTTTCCTTGGTACCAACATTATCCCCTCCACTTTTCAGAAAAAGTGTCGCCTAACCTTCAATAGCCAGAGCTAGACTATATATGTAATACTATTATATAGCGCGTAGAGGAATTTTTGCTATAAGAGAGAGAGAAAGAAGACTGAAGGATAGAAAATGGACGGTAATTGGCTCACTAGAAGAGTGTTCTATGATCGCAATGCGCAAGCGTGGCGACAAAATGTAAACTGAAAATGTCTCTCACTGGAAATGTGTTAAAGAAACTGAGTAATTGATAATAAATAAAAAAAATAAATATGGAAAGCGTCTATAACGTTGTGCGTATGAGGTTAGTTTCGGTAAGACGTCAGGTCTAATCGTATTGGCTTAGACCATGATGGAAGGGTAAACGTTACGCATGCGCTTTGCACAGACAGAACACTGATATTGATACAGACAAAGACAGACGAGCATTGTCTGCACCGTAGTGTTGCGGTACCGCTGAGAGCTCTACGCACCATATATTAATATTACATATAACTAGGCGCATTTTCGAGACGCCATCTAACAAAGTGCGCTTTTACTATGTTCGTTAGGCGCATTTTCGCGGTGGTAATAATAAAATGCGCCTGGTTCGTGTCCGTTGTACTTCCGTACAATTAATTTAGGTGACCAGATTTCCCAGAATCCTTAAATTCGGGACATTTCATAAATTTAAATTAATTTAGGTGACCAGATTTCCTTGAATTCGGGACATTTTATAAAGGTGTGAAGCGAGGAAGGGAGTTAAAAGATCCGAAAATTATTTGACAATTATTGAAAATGATGACAAATTAGTGTTCCGAATAGCATTCAAAAAAATTCGGGACAAAGGGTAAAAAATCGCGACATCTGGTCACCTTAGCTATATGTGTCGAGAAGGGAGAAGATTATTCCATAATAATGTATTTACGATATGTCCTGACGATCGCACGTCGTTGTTTTTGGCACGCTAATACATATTTCCGCAAGAGACTCACAGAACACAAGCGAAAGACGTATGAAATACGGAGCGTTGTGTCTATGGCAGTTGTTCGGCATGAAAAGATCGCAGATGCGCGCGCTGTCAATCACACATACGTTAAAAATTCATTAGCGCGCCGAAAGTGCCAAAAATGCACGAATGTAAACGCGCCAGTGATGCAAACGAGGTCGCGCGTCTACAACGACGCGACCTGTACGGCAGACGCCTTAGACTTCTCTCTGCTATTAGTTGTAAAGTCTCCGCTACGAGGCGCCACCAACAATCAACGACAATCGAGGACGTAGGCCGGTATTCATAGTCGAATCTTATTTCAAGATCGTCTTAAGTAATGTCTTAAGATGCGAATACGGCTCTGTGATTGGTTCATGATATCTTAAGACAGTACTTAAGTTGATCTTAAATATAAGATCTGACTATGAATACCGGCCATAGTCCGATCTTAGGGTCTGAGCACAGACTTTTGCATAACGCATAATGCATAACTCATAAGGAAATCAATCAATCAGAGTCATTAATTTCGATTCTGGAGAGGGAAATAAAGATCTCTGATTGGTTGATTCCCTTATGCGTTATGCATTATGCGTTATGCAAAAGTCTGTGCTCAGGCCCTTATATTTAAGATCATCTTAAGTACCGTCTTAAGATGTCATGAACCAATCACAGAGCCGTATTCGCATCTTAAGACATTACTTAAGACGGTCTTGAAATAAGATTCGACTATGAATACCGGCCTTAGGGTGAGATAGGTTTAGCACCTACACCCTGTACACTCTTTGTACACTCTTTATATTTGAATAAATGAAAATGAAACGAGGACGTAGTACGACTCAACGAAGTGTTAGACGGACCTTCTTTTCCAAGTAGTACAACTCAACGGCAGATCAATGCCTATTTATTTTTAAATTTTAAGACTGGTTTACATCGAACAAGTGCCAGAAACAATAGCCCATATTCTGAATCCTCTTTTATTTATAAAAGTGTCTCTAAAAAAAGCTTAGGAGCCACCTGATTGGCTGAAAAGCTACATTTAAGACACTTTTATCGATAAAAGAAGATTCAGAATATGGGCCAATGTTAATATCAAAAAATTAATAATAAAAATTTAACAAAACTATGTTCTCAAGAAAACCACTTACTGAATATTTCGAACAAATATACTTTTAACAATATTGAAAACAAACAGACAAAGTTAAAAATAATGTTTACCATGATTAAATTGCTAATAGCAGCGTTACTAGCAAATATGATATTTTCAAGTACAGAAATAATGTTTCTGATTTGGTAACAGAAGTATCAGTACAATTATATAAAATTATATAAAATTATATATGGCTATATATTATATATGATTATACATAAAAAAATTTAAAATGTTACTGAACAGTAACATTTGTTTTCCGCAAAATGTTGAAAATAAATATTATTAGCATTTTCTATTTCAAGAAAAATAAAATTAATAGGAAAATATGTTTAACCTTTTACTTTTTAATACATGAATAGTCTTTTGATATTAACTTGTTTCGTAACTTGTTGGAAACAATTATAACACTGCTAGAAACACATGTTATTAGTTTCTAAAAAAAAAAGGAAGAAACTGTAACATCGATATAGATCGTGAATAGTGATCGTGATATAGATACTGAATGTCACGATTTGTATAATAATAACCTGCGTCGCGCTCCTAATTGGTCGAGATGAATCGCGACATACCGACGTGTTTATATAAATGGAGTACGATCTTTACGCGACTTCAATTCTGACTCGTGTGAACGGTGAGACACAACCCAGATAGCACAAAGAATTGGAAAAGAATTCAGTCATATGTCACCAATTCTGAGTTCGTTTTTGGGTGCAAAAAGAATTCTTTTCACTGAACTGAACACTGAAGAATTCTTTTCACTGAACTGAACTCTGAAGAATTCTTTTTACATCTAAACACATGAACTCAGAATTGGTGACATACGACTGAATTCTTTTTGAATTCTTTTTGAATTCTCTGTGCTTCCTGGAAATCTATCGGGCCAACTTTTTCTTTGAAAAAGTTCTCGCTACGAGCGGTGCGCGTTGTCGCACATTTTATCTCGGTGCGCGTGTCGAAGCATAGAGATCTTGCAGTCGTCTTATTCCCGAATACGTTAGAGAGCCGAGGTTCGAGGAAATCGCATCAGTCCGGGTCTACAATAGATGTGTAGTGATTAGTGAACTTTTAACCTTATACTCTGAACTCAAAACTGTGGCGTAATTTTTGGTTAAAAAAGTTTTCCATTGCTACCTGAAGTTATAATCTCTAAGCTTGCAACGAGTTGGTCAAATTCTAATCGTTAAAGCAGCTCAGAAAACGTTTTTTGCCAGAAATTATAAGCTTCAGTGCATCAGGCTAAAGGCTTATTACATCAATTGTTGACTCGGACTCGCACAACCCACCACCGGTCCCGGTTTTGGAATTTGAGGCGTGATTTTCATACGCGCGCGGTAAGTACGAGCAACGTATATATTAGCTACGTGATATATCAGCTAAGTTCATAATTACCTAAGTTCATAAACTAATGCTTGCGCGTTTTTATTCTGATAGCATTATTCTTTCTTCCTGCAATATGTAATTAATGATAAAGATAGAATGACGCCTTCAGCACGAAAGCGCGCAAGACAAATTGAGTTATTATGTAAGGTTACCGACGTTGGTTCTACCACAAGTACATTCTTGATTAGCGTGTGCGTTTCGTTATCATTTATGACTTCGAATTCGTCGACGTTGGCGTTTTGCATTCTGCCGACGCACAGTAAGCAAAAATAAAAAAAAACTGGTCAAAAGTTTAAAAATGATCCAATCTGCAGCAAAATTGGCATACTGTTTTTGGAATCTACGATGATGAATCTTATTGTATTGATGAAAAAATCAAAATAGTGCTTGCAATATGGCGCAAGAATACTATAAAAAATTACTCTATTTAAATGAAAAATATTTGAAGATTATTGAGATTTCTAATAATGAATTAATAAAAATGATACAGAAACTAGAAAATTTATTAATTTTTACACATAAATAAATAAATATATATACATATATTTATATACACACACGCACATATATATATATATTTGCTTATTTATTTATTTATATGTAGAAATTAATAAGTTCTTCAGTTTCTGTGTCATTTTTAATTAATTTATTACTAGAAACTTCAGCAACCCTCAAATATTATTTTTCACTTAAATGAAGTAATTTCTTAGTCCATACGCCATATTGCAGGCGCCATTTTGATTTTTTGGTACAACAAGATCCGTAATTGTATATATATATATATATATATATATATATATATATATATACACTATATTTATCTCATTTATATTTATAATAAACATTTAATAATTTTTAAATAAACATTCTATTGACTCTAGTTTGTCCCAAGACAATAGCCTTACATTGATATGATTAAAGTAGACATAGAATATTGAAATAAAATTTAAAATTTTTGAAATCTTTTTTCACATTGAAAGTAGACATAGAATATTGAAATAAAATTTAAAATTTTTGAAATCTTTTTTCACATTGAAAGTAGACATAGAATATTGAAATAAAATTTAAAATTTTTGAAATCTTTTTTCTCATTGAATGATAAATATTTGAAGGCATGTTCGGAAACTATTTACAACAAATAAATGTATATGTACATATACATATAAACACACACTCTCATGTTCAAAGCTTTTGGGGATAGATTCCGAACACAAAATCACATAATCATATGATTTACTATTAGTAATATGTAGGAGAAGATTTGATATAACTTATATACCTTCCCCCTAACTTAAGTACGAATCTTTTTCCTCTTAGATAAGTTCCTTCCTTATTGCATTTCCTTGTTACACTGAAGTAGCACTCTAAACAATTAACTGATATTTTTAATTTCTTATACAATTTTTCTGTTAAATAATTAAATTCCTCGATAACATACAATATAAAAAGAGTGAAATTATCAGAGGTAAATGGTCTTTCTCTAGTCTCTCTCTCTTTTTATTATAATTTGTAAATTTACCTCTACTTGAGCACACGTGATTTAGATATTATTATTCCCACGTCTCCGAAATTGTCGTTCGACCATGGTATTATAAAAAGGAACGCAGTACCGACAAGTATCCCATGGATGTTTTTAAAGACTGAAAATAAAGAAAATAATGAAATGTCAACTTGTATTAACATTCAAAGGATATATCATGTATACCGCGGAATGAAACACGTTTTAAGTTTAAATATTTTCCTTTTGTGATATTATGACGACGAAATGCAATTATTTACAAGTTATTCACTAAAAAGTTATGTGTTACTTTCTGAAAAAAAATGATCCTATGTATGTAATTTGACACGACATAGTCATATATAATTCCCATGTTTTATTTATGAAACAAAAAGTATAAAATCTGTCAAATAAAGTTGTTATATAAACAATAATTCCGTGAAATTCTTTTAATTTCTTTTAATTAAGATTAATTGAGACCTCGGAAGGTTCTCCCGCGCTGCTAAGAATGACGGAAAAGGCTTACGTCAGTCAAAGTGCTGAGGCAAAATATGCTGAATTTGCCGGCTTTCAGACACAGCGGCTTTTGCGATCTCGCCATACACAGTATTATTATCCGTGCATTTTCCTTCGACATGTTGTACCAATTGCAATGGTAAAACGCCTCGCATACTTTACTGCTCTGTGAAAAAAAGAGAAAAGAAAGCTTGCGCAGACGAACGCGCTCGGAATCGACTGCAATTTTTATTAACTTTTCGCTCTTTACTTTCGTTTTGTTCTCGATGAAATATTACCTCAGTCAAAAGATTTTCGCCAACGGTGCAAAGAGCGTAGAGTATTAACAAGACCAAAAACTGGAATATCAGGAACATAACGAGCACCCCCCTCTCGCCTTTGGCGTAATTCTACACGCGGCGGCGCGTTTTAGGAAATTAAGATTAATTAGAATTCGATTGAGACTTTCGCCAAAATTCTGATTAGGCTAATCGACAATTAATTCGATCAATAAAGTTTCCAATATAGAAAATAGAAGGTTGTTTTTAAAACAAGAATAAAAAATTCTTTTTCCCTCTTTACGAGCTATATTCAAAATTGCTGTCAGTCAAGTACAATGAAAGCTATCAGTCAAGTATTACTTGTCCTGTTTTGCCAACACACACGAAATTATTAAATTTTTTAATTATTGTTGGATAAATTATATAACTTGAAATGGATGCAGACAATTCTGCTGATTAATTCTCCATTATTTTAATTATTTGAAGTTTGATAAAAATCACTCTTAATGGAATGACATAAGAGAGAGACAGTCAACAACACGAAGACATCGAGTTAGAGGTAACTTTTGATGAAAGCGAGAAATTTCGCCGATGTTCAGCGCGATAACTCACCGTTAAGATTTGGTAACCGAGAATGCACAGGAGAGAAGTAGCTCCTATGAGATTAACCAACAATGTTATGCTGAATATCTTTTCTATCATTTTTCCCATCCTGAAATCACAGCAGTGATTATACATAACATTCGATATCGTTTATTTTGTGTATTTTTTCGAGTTCTCAAAATTTCTTCAAATCAAATTTCACTGAAAACATACAATAACAACCGAATTATATATGTATTCACATTTAATATTTCTCTATTTTGAAGCATCGCGTGAATGTATTTTTATGCAAAATTGAAAAGTGAATTCGATGTATTTCATCGTCACAAGAAACTCATTTTAAGAAATTAAAAAACATTTATTAAACATTCACTCGTATTGATTAAGAATCCATTCTAAGTTTGAGTCGAATATTTATTCCTACAATTTCTTTATCTTGTTCTGAATGAGATTTTATTTAAAGAAATTAAGAAATATAATTGAAATAATCCGTCTCAATACGAGAGAAATGGGAGTAAGAGAGAGGGAAGGAAGAGAGGAGAGAGAGAGAGAGAAACTGTGTGCCATTGAAAGATATGATAATTTGATTAGAAAAAATAATTAGGAAAAAGCAAAGAATGAAATAAATGAATATAATGATAATAAGAACTTGCATAGATATATAATTTGCTTATATTTTTCAATATAAAGCGCACAGAGACAATCCAATAAAGATCAACAAAGACGCGCATAAAGACAATCCAATTTAGATACAATCCAATAAATAAAATCAATAAGCGAATTGTAATTGTAAAATGCAAGCAAATTACATCTGTAATCGGAGATCTTATTGTCTTCATTATATTTATTTATTGGATTTTAATTCAAGAACCTTTCCATATAGCTCAGAGAATTCAAAAAGATTTCAGTCGTATGTCACCAATTCTGAGTTCATTTTCAGATGCAAAAAGAATTCTTCAGGATTCAGTTCAATGAAAAGAATTCTTTTTGCACCTAAAAATGAACTCAGAATTAGTGACATACGATTGAATTCTTTTTGGATTCTTTTTGAATTCTCGGAACTATGTGGAAAGGTTCTTGAATTAAAATCCAATAAATAAATATAATGAAGACAATAAGATCTCCGATTACAGATATAATTTGCTTGCATTTTACAATTCTGACCCCAGAATTGGTGACTGAATTCTTTTCGAATTCTGCTGGGATGCCATCATCCGATGGAGAAAAAACGAAAAAACTTGCTATTTGTGCGCACGTAAGAGCTCACCGTAGCAATCGTATATGCGTGCGCACGACGTTCCGTATTTCGCGGCCGCAAATGAGAGGATCGGTGTCTATGTTGTTGATGCGCAGAGCCAGCACCGACATTTGGCCGCAAATGTGAAAGGAGAGGGTCACCATGACACAGTCGGCGGCGGTCTGTCCGAAACCGCTGATAAACACGAAGGGAAACTCCAGAACGTACGTGATCACGTAGGTGCGCAAGTCCTCCACCGCGTAGAACACATGAAAGCGATACGGCAAAAGGTAAATCACCCGAGTTACGTTCTCGCCGATCGTAATTCGCGGCAGACCTGCGGGGATATTCTATTATCGCATCTCGTTAATAGCACGATTGAAGAGTAACGTTACATTTTACACGCAGAAAAATATCGTTAAACTGCCAAGAAAAACGATCACTTAGTTTACTTTCTTACTTTTAAGTAATGGTTATCTTCAACAAAAAATATTTTCTTGATGATAATATTATATAAAGAAAAGATCATATTTTGTCCCTGTATTTTTATGCAAATATATTCGAAAAAATGCTTCTGATAGAGCATGATGTCGACGTTTAATTGAATAAAACTATATTTTTTTTCTTTTATTTAACATAATTTTTTTTCCGTGTGGACACATGGAGAAAAATAATTTTGCTTTTTTAGCAAAATTGCCGTTGCTATTGCATATTCGTAGTGACATAAAAAAATTTTAGTTGACGTAACTAATTTTACAAATTATTCGTTATCAAAGCAGAACTAGTTTTATTGCCAGAATAGAAAAAAATTTGTTGAGTGTATTTATCCTAAGAATCACGTTAATTTGCTATTAATGCAAAACAATGTATCCTAAATTTATTTGCTATCTACAAGCAAAACTGCACCTTATATAAATCTATCATGGTTCGTACAGCAAAATAATTTGTAGATTCAGCAAATTATATCCAGCAAATAGTGATTAATATTCTTAGCAAATCTTTTTGTTGTCCATTGCTGAAAAGATTTTGCTAGACCAGTAGAAAATTTGCTGGAACAGCAAATTATTTTTCTCCGTGCATATATCATGGACAAAATTTATATATATATAGTAATAATATATAATTATATAAAAAGTTACATGTATATGTTTATATATATATATATATATATATATATATATATATATATATAAACATATACATGTAACTTTTTATATAATTATATATTATTACTATTTCCCTAATGTAATTTTAAAATATGCTCATCAAAAATTTGAAAGTTCATTGTCATATACTTAAAAGAAGAATTTATTCTCTGTGGAAGAATATTATAAAACTTATCGAAGAAAATTCGATCCTGTGTAGCAAACCGAATTTTCTTTTAATTTAATGTTCTCGATTATAAAATGTCCAACTAGGATTTAAAACGTATTTTAAATAAATTTGTATCGTTCCTATAAAAATTATAGAATTATTATTTAAAAAATTTTTATAACAAGCGTTAAAAAATAGTTGTCTCTCTAGTCATTAGTATAATTACTGTCGCCGTGTCAAATTTAATCGTCAGTTTGTTTTGAACGGCATAATGGCGATTACCACAAGTAATTAACGTAACCTTGTGTCTTTCCATGTATATCTTCGTATGCAATCTCGCCAGATACGGCGGGAATTAAGTTGCGTAAAAGTGACTCACCGCTTCCGAGTATAATTATAATTGGTGTCAAGTAATACGACGAGGCTGTCAATGCGACAAACACCATCAGCAATTTCATGAAGACTTTTGACCTGGCGTTGTACGAAATGAACGTTTTCATTTCCTCGAACGTTCTATAACTCGCCCTATCGAAGTCCTTCATTATCTCGGCTATGACCTCACCGATTTGGCCGTTATATAACCGTAATGTGCTCATTCTCACGAGTATCTGCAAAAACGCCATGTTCTCCGTTAAATTCATGATTATGTGCTCGAGGTTGTCGATGAAGAGAAACAGATCGAAGAATTCCAAGATCATGAGGAAGCCGAAGTAGCTGTAGTTGATGGTGAAAATCAGATTGTTATTGCGAAACGGCCAGAGACCCAGCGTCGACATCAGTCGTTTGTTCCACGACAATACCTGTGCTGCACGGTCTAGGTCCTTCTGATCCTGATGAAGAAATGATCGCGCTTTCTCATCCGTATGTGCATCTGCTCATTTCAAGTTCGTACACAAAAACTTCTAAAAAAATACTTATTCGATGGATATTAATAACATATTCACTCAAATTTAAATTCTTTTATTTAAGTAGGATAAACAACTGCTTTCATGAAAAAAGCTACAGTTCCAAGAAAATATATATTTATCTATTTGAAAGATATCTTTTATTGGTATAAGTAAATATGTTATAATACTCACTGAGTAAATATTTTTTTATTATTTCTTAGATATTTCTCTTTTATTTCAGTGTAACACCTTTATATTAATTCGAGTCATAAGTAACTTCCGCTTCTTTATACTTTTGTCTCTTATTTCTCTTTTTACGCAAATTGAAAGGGAGAAACATTCTGAGCAAGAAGGAAATACTCTCGATTTTGTCGCAAGTCACTTACACATTGTAAGAGAGAAAATATCTGAGAAATAAAAATATTTATTTAGTGGATAGTAATAAAATATTTACTTATAATATGTAGTAGTATAAAACACTTTTCAAATAAAAATATAAAAATTTTCTTAAAACTTTAGCTTTTTATGAAAGCAATTGTTGATTTAATAAGAGAATTTACTATTAAATAAAAGAATATTATATTTAATATTAAATGAAAAAATTTTGATTTGAGTAAATATATTATTAGTACCCACCGAATCAATAGTTTTTATTTCGTAGGTTTAGTTTTTCTCTCATACTCGATTTAATATACGAAGCCCCCTAAATTTCTTCGAGTAAAGCCTCACTAGAAAAGTAGAATGACAACTGAATCACTCGAAGTTAAGCGATTTTTCCCTCATATAAAATAAATGTAATTGTTCATTCTGTATTGTCGAACAAATATTCTCTCTCGAAATTGCAGAGTGAATCTCACAGGAACAAATTCGTTCTGCGATATGAGTGAAATATAAGCTCTTGTGATCCAAGTGGCGATATTTCCATCGTTGCTTGGAGCAAATTTTTGCTTGTTTTGAGTGCAAAAGATGAAGAAAAAATTTTCGAGAGTACGACACGATATATCAAAACAATAATATTAGTGACTCACCCGCTGCATTGCGTTTTTCCGCTGTTGTTCCCTCGAGAGCTTTCACGAAACTGCATCAAATACGTGCGATCGCGGGGATGGTGCATGTAACGTTCGTCGCTCCCTGAGCGGTCTATAGAATCGGGAAAGCGGGCGTAGAGATAATCGCAATAATCGCCGTAAACCGAAAATTGACGTATGTACATACGCGAATCGCATATGAGCGTGTTACCCGACCCACCTGCGCTCGCAATTTGGTGCGCCGCGAGATCTGGCGTTGTCCTGCGCGATTAACTGCCGAGATCGACGCCGATTTATCGTCATTATATCCGCGACTACAAATCGCCGCTGAACGATTCTGAGAATAATTGCGCGGCAGCAAAAAATTCAGACGCGCTTTATGGACTTTCATCGCGAAAACGCCGCGCGGTCGCGACTCCGGAATCGCGAACTCGGAACAATAATTTCGTCTCCATAATGGGGCCAATTAGTGTGTTTCGCCGACCAATACCGTGTGACCACGTGGTCAATTCTAAGTCAAGCTTTTATTAGCCTTGGCAGACCTGTTCTCTCTTGCAAGAAATTATCCGCTCTATCATACCACGATTTTCACTTTTCTTTTCTCTTTTTTTTGTTTTTTTAAGAAAGGAGTCGCTTATACACGAATTACGAACAACATGCATATACTTGGTTTTAAAGTGGTTCGATCGCTTTTCCCTCGATGCAATCCCGAACGCAGCTGATGATACGATCGGAGAACTTAACTTCTGGGAATTAATTAAAAACAAGTTCTCTCATTGGAGCTCTATCGGCTACGTTTCCAACTGCATCGAGGTTCCAATCGCTTTGAAACCAAGCGTGTTGCCAAGTACGAACTCAAGGCAGTTTCTATATGTATTTCTATGTATGATATACAAATTCAGTCAGTACTGTGCATCGCTCAGAATGACACTTCCGTTTATAACGACACACCGTTCTGTCCAAGGCGACACATCGTTCACAGCGTGACGCTTTACAACATAGTGCGCAGCATCGACAAGTACGCCAAGGAGGTTTTGATGACCTGCGCCGATTCAGAGATGAAATGCCATTAATGACGGTCGTTCATGTTCGTTGAAAAGGAGATCTTTCTACACACAGAAGAATATATGCTGCATTGAAGTAAATGTTGCTTGTTTCTAGTATTTCATCAAGCTTAATCTATGTGCTTTTTGCTTCCTGTTTCTTGTTCTCTGTCTTTTTTTGACTTAGGACTTAAGATTTGAGTTAGAAAGAAGGAAAGAAGGAAGCAAAGAAGAAAAGAGCGAAAGAAGAAAAAGTGGAAGAAGGAAGAGAAAGAAAGGAGGAAGCAAAGAACATATTATAGATCAAGCTTAAAAATTTATACATCTGTAAATTTATCATAAGTTAATCATAAACATCAAATTTACGCAAAGTACATTCTTCAATATTTTAACAAATATTGTTCTCAAAAAGTATTGTATAAACTCTATTCTTGAGGTCCTTTCGAGACCACACGTCGTAGCTTAAGGAATAAACTTAGGAGATACCTGAAACAAGTGATATTTATTTGAACACAGTAGACACGGCATCATGAATACCGTGTGAACATTTACTAGATCGAGGGTTATACGATCTTTAGCCTTATAGTAAGTTTGATAAATTTCAATCAAGAAAATTAAATTAAAACAAAAATTCGGGTTGCTTAGAACTCTAATATACACTTTCTCTTTGATAAAGTTTTATAATATTCTTGTGAAGAGAATAGATTCTTCTTCTGAGTAGATGATATGATGCAAGCTCTCCTGAAATTCCTGATAAACATATTTTAAGACTAATATTAGGAAAATATTCTTTATGATATTTCTTTTTGAGGAGGACTATTATTTAAGACAAAGAAACTGAGCAATCACTTTTCTTACCAATAAAATTATAATATTTTTCTGTGTCTAGAGAAAGATCAATTGAGGATCTTTCTTCGAAATCGCTTTAAATCCGTGTTTCTTCTCAGAAACGAGGATTCTTCTAGAGGCACGAATTGTAGACATCGCGAGGAAGAGTGAATTTCAATGTCGTTGAAAGTTTAGAAACTGAAAAAATGAGATGAAGCGCTAATAACTTACATCCGTAAAACCGTTCAGGGAGAATATGTAAAATTTTCCGGCTGTCAGATAGAGCATAACTTGGCCACGAAGCATACATATCAGGAGGCATCTCTTGCAACTGAATGGCATCTCGTACCAATTGCACTGATAGTACGCATCCTGCACGCTTACGCACTAAACACGAAACACAAGCAACCAAATGCTCACCATGAAAAGGCAACAAGAAAGAACATTATTTCTATCAATACCGAACAAGATTCGATACCTGTTGAGTCAGTTGTTCGCCGATCAAGCAGTATCCGTAGAGCATAACGAGCGCGATCGCGGCAAAAAATATAAACGTACAGCAGGTCGCTAACTCCGTGATCTTCAAGTTCTGAAAAATGTATTCTTTATATTCTCCCAGTAAAATTCCAGGCGTCACATATATTCTAATTTATTCTACACTGATTAGTCAAACAACAGCCAAGTCAACCCGAAGAGTGGAATTATTTTTCATTCATAAAGTATATAGCGTGAAATCTCCACTGAATCTCCACTGAAGTATATAGCGTGAACTCTCCACTGAATCGTCGAGTAAATTTTTTTATTTAAGATTGAAGAATCAATTTAACGTAATCCCTTATCACAGGAACGAATTCATTTTAATCGGCTGAAATATTCATTCATTTATATTAAGAATTCATTCTATTGTTTGAGTTAGATCTTTACTCTTGAGTGTGTGATTATAAATAGCAATATTTTATTAATTACTCTTTCAATATTTTCCCTAACAACACAAATATCCAAAGGACGTACAGAGTGTGTCCTGAGGATGTTCTGGGGACGTTTCTACTCCTCAGGACACTCTTGGGACGTCCCTAGGACACCTTATGTTATTTGGATTATTTACTACAGCAATATCATCCAAAGAAATATAATCACATTCTTAGCGAAATCTTTTGATTTCTCAAGAGAATTCTTTTAAGACCAAAAATAATATATTTTAAACACAATATTCTTAAAGCTAGAGAAACTTCGTGCTTTATCTATATAATCTTGCTTGTCACATCTCGTTTCGCGCCTAAGAAGGTATTCCTTTCTTAAAGTAAACATATTTCTCCCGATTCAAGAGTTTACGACTAATAGTGCACTTCATTAGACGAAGAACACTCTCTCAGTAAAAATTTTCGATCAGAACATGGGATTATTGGAAATAGGATTTTGCAACTACACGGAGAAAAATAATTTTGTTCTTTTAGTAAAATTGTCGTTGCTACCGCATATTTATAGTGACATTAAAAAAATTTATTTGACGTAATTAATTTTACAAATTATTCGTTATCAGAGCAAAAGTAGTTTCGTTGCCAGAATAGAAAAAATTGAGTGTATTTGTCCTAAGGTTAATTTGCTATTGATGCAAAATAATGTATCCTTAGCAAATTTATTTGCTATCGGAGCAAAATTGCAACTGCTTATATAAATCCATCATGGTTCTTATAGTAAAATAATTTGTAGATTCAGCAAATTATATCCAGTAAATAGTGATTAGTACTCTTAGCAAATCTTTTTGCTGTCTATATAATAACGAAAAGATTTTGCTAGACCAGCAGAAAATTTGCTGGATCAACAAATTATTTTTCTCCGTGTAGAGTTCTTTTTTTGCGTGTTTTATTTTACTATTTCTTCTAGTGAATTTTCGCTTCTTTTGAGTGAGATTTCTCTGTAAGAAATTGGTAAAGTAAGAAATCTATCATGATAAACAACGGTACGAACAAACTCGATAACTCACCATCAAGACGTAATACATCGAGATGGCCAATATAACGCTGTTGCCGAAAAGTTCATCCATAAGAACCATGTTGAAGGTATCGTCAACGGACTTGGCCATCCTTAAAACGCCACGATATCCCAGGGTGATACGCAACGAGAACAAGAAAACCGCAAATGAAGCACGAGGAAGAAGCAATCCTTTACAATAATAATACTTATATCATATATGATCAGCTCACCATATTATTTTGAGATGCATTCGGACGAAATCGCGAATTCTGGCTGCCAGCACATCTTGCGAGTACGTTTGTACGTTCTTGATGCGGTACGACAGAATGGACAATTCGCCGCAGATGTGAAACACTAAAATGACCAGCAGGCAAATCGCCGCCATGTGACACATGGAGTTGTAGAACATTGGAAATAGATAGAGATACATAAGCACGTATGTGCGGGTGTTGGCGATGTCGTAAAATGTGTGGATCCTGTAGGGTAAGACGAAGGAGTTTGTGCTGTTATCGAATTCTGTACAGAAAAAAAAAGAATTAAAAAGAAAACTGTGAAAGGAAAATATTCTAAGCGCAATATTTTTAAATTTAGAGAAATTTTGTCTTTACCGTACAAGTCTTGTTCTTAATAGAAATTTCTTCTAGTAAGAAGACATTCTATTTTAAGCAAACAGTAAATATAAAATGTGTGTGCTCTTGACTCAGAAGGAAAAAAGTCTAAATAATATCTAGTAGATTTCGGATTAAAAGTTTACTTTATTGGAAGAGAAACGTTAAAACAAAAAACGGCAAAATGGCAATGCCAATCAACCGATATTATAATAATATTATAAATTAGCCTAGCTAGCTCTCTCGCAGCTAGCCCTGTGATTTTTACTATTACTTTTACTATTAACTACGTCAATAGAGAATCAGTTAAGACATATAAGTATGTTTTCTTTTCGTTAAAAGAAAGCGATAAAATATCAATTCGCCTTTTATAAGTTTTACCATTACTTCTACACTACACGTAGAAAAATAACACTTTACAGCTAAAAAAGCGATTTCTTTCAGTTTGCTTTCCTCTTTTTAAGGAAGAAAGCGGGTTATCTTCATTAGAGAATAGTTTTATCTTGATAACATTTTTAAAGTATACTCATCACAAATTTGAGAAAGACTTGTTGTCATGTATTCAAAAAAAGAATTTATTCTCTTTATTACAATATTATGAAACTTTACCGAAGAAAAAGTTGATTCAATCCTGCACAATAAACGAATCCAATTTTTGCTTTAATTTGATATTCTTTATATTTAATTGAAAAAATCCTAAATTTTCCGAGAGAAAATAATCTCACACATACCCACACATGTAATTACATAAAATTATATATAATAATATATAAATTATATATGAATTTTGTTTCTATATATGCACGGAAAAAAAGATTTGCTAATATAAAAATATTAACTGTAGGAGCAAATGTTCTTGCTTTTGTAGTAAAAGTTATTTTACTAAAATTTTACTAAAAGTAATATATATATTAGCAAATTTTTTAGCTATTACAACTAAATAACTTTTACTATGAAAGCAAGAAAATTTGCTCCTGCAGTTAATATTTTTATATCAGCAAATCTTTTTAGTTGTCCATATATTAGCAAATTCTTTTTTTCCATGTAGTTATATATACAATCGTATGTATTTACATAGAGGAAATGTTAAATGAAAAAGGGAGGGAACAGTTTCATTCAATTAAATATCGACTTATGTGCTATCATAAACACACAACATTTACTTTAATTGTATTTATATAACAATAATTTTTTCATTATAGAAGATATGATAATGATAGCTGTATAAATAACAACTATCTTGTGTATGTAGAATTAATTTGTGTATGTAGAACAAATTTCATTTGTATTATGTATCTACGTTAATGAGACGTTTACTTTTCTCCACATAGCAGAAATGTCCCGAATATATCATAGGGATATCCTACAAATATTGAGATATCTTTATAATATCCTTGTGTATTCGGGACATTTCTGCTGTGTAGGTTTTTGCACAATTACTCATTTTCCCTAAACATACTTATGTATCTTAACTGATTCTCTACTGACATAGTTAATAATAAAAGTAATAGTAAAAATCACAGGGCTAGCTGAGCTGGCTAGGCTAATTAACATGTTTTCCAAGTGTGTGTACCTTGATCGTTGCTCGAGAAACTCATGAGCGGTCTAAAGTATAACAGCATCACCGTGATGAACATGCCGACGGTCGAGCCGTAGAGGAATATCTTGGACGTGTAATTGTAATAGTGGTAGATCCTCTCCTCCTCGGGATCCTCGAACTTCCGCTCTACCATGTCCTTTCTCACCACGACGATGACGCGCTTCAGCAGACCGCTGCAACGGATCACCCACACCATCGGGAAGGTGATGCTGTAAGCCACCGTCTCCACGAGATTCATCACCATCAGCTCGAGGTTACCGAGAACGTCCCAGAGATTCGCGTATGCCATAATGAGGTACAGCGTGAAGTACGTGATGTAAATCGCAAAACGAACGTACGTCCGCTCGAACGGCCATATTCCCCCGACGGAGAAGATACGTTCTAAGTGAACGAACAGATCTTCGATATGGCCGACATCGCTCTGCAATACGAAGCTCAAGATAAAAGCGACGTCATTTGACTCAAACCGCACTAAAAAAAATGTAATCTTATTTTTAGCGGAGATCTTTTTGGGTTCTTCTCTTCTTGAATTCATTTTTTATGTAGGATGTCTTACAGTTATTGACAACTTTACTGAAAAATACAATAAAAGAAAACATTTTAAAATAATTATACTAAAAAGTTGTTACTCAGAAAAATTGTCATTACAAAAATATTAAGCAAGCATAATAAAGAAGCAACTGAACAAAAATTGTATAACAGTTGGCTATTTACAAAAAAAAATACAAAGGATAAAAATTGTTACTTAAAAAAACTGTTATGCAAAGAATCTTTACAAAAAAAATATAACAAACAAATCCTGTTAAAAGATATTTCACAAGTCTTTACAAAAATATTAATTTTGAGCTATAGCTATTTAATTTTGTACTCTCTACAAAAGTAATGATATAAAGAGGTTTACGCCAAGTGCGAGTGATTAATCATTAACATTTCAGTTCTCACTTTTATAAACACAAATTCTTTTAACTATATAAATATTTAAAGTAGATAAATATTAAGAAAAACTTTATTATATAAAACTGTTTGTCGGAGAAGCTTCTATAAAAAATTTAATTTTGTATTTCTTCCAAAAATAATAATAAAAGAGATTTACATAACAACTTTCATTATTATATTTTTTGTTTTTTTTAATTTCATGTTTCGTTATTTGTTATATATTACACAGATCATTAACATATAAAACATTAACATAAAATTTTAATATTGTATATGAAAAATAAATTTTATATATTATTAACATAAATATTTTAATATTAAATATGAAAAAATATAAAAATATGTATATATTAAATATTAAAAAATAAATAATTATAAATAGAATAATTTTGATACCCATTGTGTGTAGGTAGAACTCATAAACCGAACAAAATTGTTCTTACAATTTGTAAAAGAATTAAACATTTAAAAAATTTATTTTATTTCTTTATTTGTATTATGTATCTACGTTAATGAGACGTTTACTCTTCTTTGCACAATTACTCATTTTTTCTAAACATACTTATGTGTCTTAACTGATTCTCTATTGACGTGGTTAATAGTAACAGTAATAGTAAAAATCACAGGGCTAGCTGCGAGAGAGCTGGCTAGGCTAATTTATAATATTATTATAATATCGGTTGATTGGCATTGCCATTTTGCCGTTTTTTGTTTTAACGTTTCTCTTCCAATGAAGTAAACTTTTAATCCGAAATCTACTAGATATTATTTTGACTTTTTCCCTTCTGAGTCAAGAGCACACACATTTTATATTTACTGTTTGCTTAAAATAGAATGTCTTCTTACTAGAAGAAATTTCTATTAAGAACAAGACTTATACAGTAAAGACAAAATTTCTCTAAATTCAAAAATATTGCACTTAGAATATTTTCCTTTCACAGTTTTATAGAAAAGCTCTGAAGACTATATGTTATAAGAAAATTTCTGCTAAAGATACGACTATATGCTTTTGAGTGTAATATTTTTCTCTCACTCTTTGATTTCATATTGAAGGAGGAAAATGAAACGATCCCTCTCTCGAGGACGCTTCGCTTTCGCGAATTCTACACTTACTGTACGACTTTTTCGAAGCATGCACATCGCGGATCTTTTCGAGCGACAGATTTTCCTTCACAGCAACGACGAGTGTTAAGTTGTCGAGCGATTCTTCATTCGCTTTATTTCTCGATATCTCGATAGCTGAAATGACACGCACGCAACGGTACATTCAACGTGAAAGAAACTCGTAGCGAGAATCATCAATGATTACCTCCAAAGCCAAAGTAGTCGTTGAAGGAAAGTGTCTGTGTGGCAATCGGAGAAAGAGAGAAAGAGAAAGAGATCCTTTTATACTCGGCTATACCTTACGAGATATTTTAGACTCACAAATGATGTGATTGACAATTGATTGACAAATACAAAATATAAAAATGAAAGACATAAACCTGTCAAAGCTTGTTAGAACTGGGTATTTGCGATTCACAGGAAATAATTCTCGTAACCTGTCGAGTTGTCTCTTTTCATCAACTGACCGTCTGCAGCTGCGGCTGAATTCGTTGCAATAATTACGTTGTGATTGAGACTTGATATTAAATTTAAGTACAATAAAATAAGAAAAAAGAAAAGTATAATAAATAAGGAAAAAGAAAAGAGCATTTAAGAACCAGAGGCAGAGTATAAGAGTGCAATCGAAATATTACAAACATAAACATTGGTCTTCCGCAGAGGTTGACTCTTGCGCCTTTTATTCTTGTACTTTTATCTTTCTTATTGTTGTTTCTGAAGAGGATCCAAATCGGGTCGAAACGTAATATTTGTATTTTTTTTACTCCGTTAATGTAATACATCGGTTGCACTCTTACAACTGTGCCTGGCTCTTAAATGCTCTTTCCTTTTTCCTTATTTTATTGTATTTAATACATCAGAGCCAATTTTAATTTTTTTAATGGTTATTAAATTTAAGGTCCGGATCAAGCGTACGTTTGCGTTACGTTTGTATCTGCGTCATTTCCGCTTGGATTGCGCGCGATCAAATGTCCAACAGTCACAATACGTGTAGATCTAACATCGGACCGAATAATAGTGTGCAGCTGGGATTACATTCGCCTAAACTGGCATTAAACCGTTATTAAACTGTCATTTTTCCTAGGGCATCGATTATCTTACAGTCTTCCGCTCGCGGCGAATAGCAAAAGTACTATTCCTCCCTTTTTGTCCTTATCTGATATTTCGTGGAAGGAATATCGCGAAGGCGAGCTTAAAGTTAATTTTTAACGTCGGCGTGGGTAATCAACGAACTTGCTCGATGCTTCGAGCATTTCGAGAAGTATCAGCCGTAGTGACGGTCGTCGATGTTGTTCTCTTCACGTGCTGCATAAGATTGCACGTTGTTTCCTGTCAATCGTGAAAATCCCGATTGAAGCTGCATTGACGAGGTACTTATTTTACTTTCGACATTTCGCATCTGCCATTAGATTGCGTGGAGCGCGAAATTTATCGTTGAGTTCCGTTAAAAACTAATGACAAGCAAGTTAGTTGCTAGAAATTAGTTACTAGGAACTTGAGAATTGTAAATTGATAATTGGAACGTGACTGAGATCGTGCTAACAGAGAAACCGTCAAAAGTATTCCTTACTAAAAATTAAAAATCTTAAAAATTTGATATTTACGAACAATCTGAATATATCACTGTGTAAAGAGTATAAAATATTATATATCTTCTGTTAAAAAATGCTTTTTCATATACCTTATATTCTCAACGAAATTCGTTAAAAATTGAGCATTTCGTTCTTTTCAAGAAATTACTTTAAATAACTTTTAAATGTTGAGAAAAGCACGTAAAAAAATATAGAGATCTGTAATTTTTTTGCTTTGCATATTCAAACCAGTGAAGGATTTTCTAGGTAGTTTCTCTGTAAGATAGAAATTTGTTGATTCGTCAAATTCTGATTTATGATCTTTAATCCTTAATTTCCAATAATTTGACCATAATCTGAAAATAATCTGATTTTAGAGTAAATATACCTTCAACTTATTTACCGCGATATCCATTTCTTGCTCGTCAATTTGACCGATACGTTTTATTTGTATAAAGTCAGGAGAATCGTGTATCGCTTAAGTAAATACGTAAGCAAGTATTATGTTTTCATTGCAGCTAAAAGAATGTTATCTTCCTCGCGTTTCTTCTAAGCTGTCTGTTAGAAGGTTGTTTAAGACTTTTTCTATTCCTCTGTATTGATAGAATTAGTATTAAGGAGTAGATAAACGTAGACATCACGTAGATAAACGTTACATGTTATCGACACGTAGAAAGAGTAAACTACTGCAGAGAAATGACATTTGTATACACTGTATAAAAAGCTATATTATAATGTTTGTTCTGTTGGAATCATTTTTCATTGTACGAGTAATTAAATGCACAGATTTGTCTTGAAGATTATTATTAGCGTAAAATATTTATTTGACACTAGTAAGTTGATCAATTATTAGTATAATAAAGGGTCTCATTATTTATACACTTGTCGCCTCATAAATATTTCAACGTACTCTTTGCACAATTTATTGAGACGTGAAGTAAACGCAAGATATTTCTAATCGAAGGTTTCTCACATGAAATTACGCAACACGGACAAGTACGCCATCGAAGTTTTTACAACCTGTAAGGAGAATGAATTGTAAGAGTGACATAACGAAACGGAGAAAAGCAAATTCAAGTACGTTAACTCACACTCGTGAATGTGTTCAAAGATAACATGCAGAATTTACCGGCAGTCAACACCAGCGGTTTCTTAGAACGGATCATACAAAAGATGAGCATTTTTGCGCACGACGGTGGATTATTATACCAATGAACGTTGTAAAATGTGTCGTGCAATCTGACGCTCTGAATAAAACAAGCAATTTCCCAAAGTCGATGGCAGAAAGGTCGCAACGCTCTTTCTTTCAATGAAATTCACAACGCTTTTGTATCCAATAGGGATTGCTTGGTCATTCTCAGAAGATATATTTTCCTATTGCATATCAAGGGCGTTTTGAAATTCATCGAAGTGAAAGTGTTATGACCTTCCTACCATTGAGTATATAGTTAGCTGCGAAACGGTTTAGACACAATAAAATTGGGAGTTTACAAATTGTCAAAATTGAGAGTCACTATTAACTGGCTTGCCCAATATTATAAATTATTATTAGTAATTAATATTAGTATTATTATCGTTTACTGTTATTTAGTGTTCTTAATTATATTATTATTGCGTAAGTCCATTTGGTAAACGATCTCAGTTTTGACAGTTTGATGTGTCCTTAACTTCATTGTGCTTAAACCATTTTGTACTGTATATGACAAAATAGACGATACACTGAGAAAAAATTTATTAAATTTCAAAAAAACATTTGTTTGGATACAACTATGAACATATTTGTTTAAATTAAATAATTATCTTCTAAAATCAAAGAAAGAAATTTATATTTAAAATTTCTTTATTTAGTTTTAGAAAATAATTTGGATACAACTATGAACATATTTGTTTAAATTAAATAATTATCTTCTAAAATCAAAGAAAGAAATTTATATTTAAAACTTCTTTATTTAGTTTTAGAAAATAATTACTCAATTTAAACAAATATGTTAACAGCTGTATCCAAAGAACGTTTTTGGAAATTAATAAATTTTTTTCTCAGTATAGATTGAAGATAGATAATCGTGAAAATCGGGAAAAAGAAAAGGAAAATAATCATTTAGGCCTATTTAACGATGCGAGCTTATAAAAAGAAAAATTACGGCTCCATAATTACCTCGGTAATGAGACATTCTCCTATGTAGCAGTACGCGAGAATCGTACTAAACACGCTGCAAGCGCAAAGCAAAAAACTCACGCTGTTGGTATTATCGCCGTGTTCCGTATTCTGAAATACAATTTCATTTTAGTTATGGCCGATGATATCAGAAAACTTGAGTGTAAACCAATTTCCCGAATTAGAGTTAAATGAATGCATAACGTTATTTGATATTCAAAACTTTCATGAAGAAACGTTAGATTTGGCTCTCGAGTTATAGCCGCGTTCATCCTGCATTTGTTTCCAGTATTAGTTTGTTACTTTTTTTGATGAAATGAACTAAAATGTTCACAAAGAGTTGGAAACAACTTCATCGAAAACGCGGTCTTAGTCTTGAAGCCAAATCCAGCATAACGTTATTCTTTTTATAAAATATTATTGAGCTTAGAATCTCAAATCGTGGAACTCACCGCGACAATGTGATACGTAGTTAAACAGAGCAAGAAAACGGTTCCCAGAGTTTGTTGAAGAAATATCATATTGTAATTACTTTCCAAGATCTCTGCTAACCTGGAATGCGCTGATTTCTTAAGATTATATTATCATATTATTCCCGACATACAGTTAAATTGTTATTGTGCAATCCTGCAAGGATCATCTTACGTCGCATAAACGCGTAGAGTTCGCGAAAAGGAAATCAAAATTACGCATTGCAAAGGTATAGATTAAACGTACTTTTGATTAGAACTAGAACTGTTTCATTCGATTATCCTTCTTATTTATTTATACGAGGACGATCCATTTTAACTATACTCTTTTTACTCTTATCTTCAATAAATCTATTCACAAGAGTCGATTATGAATCTTTTCCTCTAACGTAAATTCGTAAAAAATGGAAATTTTTTCGTACTTAAAAGTATATAAAAGTGTATGTAAAATTTTCTTACTTAAGAGTATATAAAAGTGTATGAAAATTTTCATTTGTCTTAGGTTCACTTTCCAGGGAAAGAATCATGATCGATCCCTTAATCTATAATACATAACGCGCAAGCGCACATGCATAATGATATACAGAGAGAACGATTTGGTTGAATCAAATAAATACTTTTTTTGAGTAGTCCAAACGAATTTTTTGATCGATTATTATAAATTATTATTACTAATTAATATTAGTATTATTATCGTTTACTGTTATTTAGTGTTCTTAATTATATTATTATTGCGTAAGTGCATTTGGTAAACAATCTCAGTTTTGGCAGTTTGGTGAGTCCTTAACTTCATTGTGCTTAAATCATTTTGTACTGTATATGACGAAACAGACGATACACTGAGAAAAAAATGTATTAAATTTCAAAGAAACATTTGTTTGTCACAACTATGAATATATGATTGGTCGAACCAAATTTTGTTTGAGGCAACAAAAATATTTATTTGCGGCTTAGTTCTAAAGAAATATTTTTGTTGCTTCAACCAAATAACACAGACCCACAATTTAAAAAAAGTTGTCTGTGCTGGGGGTCTGACTAGGTGTATTTTGGGCTGCTGAATCCAAATCCGGTGTCAGATTTGCCCCATCACCCTTGAATTTCCCGGAAAATCGAGCAAATCGTGAAAAGGAGCAGATATCCAGATTTTTACGGAGACATGTATTCAAGAAAAATTCTAGAGGGACAAATAACCCCATAATCCTACAACCAACGTTGAAAATACATTATGTACTTCAACATGGAAAACGAATCATTGTACACATCCCCTACGGGGCAGTTGTCATTGTCTCCAACATCCTCTGAAGCAGCAGGATTTATCTGATCGACAATCATATATTGTAGAATTGATATTTCGAATAGAAAAAAGATTCCATCTCGTGGACAATAACATGAATGTGACCATGATAGGACACGCACAGATTAGATTTTCTAATCTATGCGATGTTAAAGGATTGATAGGTGAACTAAAACCGAATATGTATGATGGTATTATATATGGGTTATTGGGTTGTTCTAGTCATCAGATGTTGAAGTACATAACGTATTTTCAACGTTGGTTGTGGGGTTATAAGGTTATTCGTTACTCTAGAATTTTCCTTGAATACATGTCTACGTAAAGACATGGATATCTGCTCCTTTTCACGATTTCCTCGATTTTCCGGGAAACTCAAGGGTGATGGAGCAAATCTGACACCGGATTTGGATTCATCAGCCCAAAATACGTATAGTACACCTAGTCAGACCCCCAGCACAGACAACTTTTTTTAAATTGTGTAATTTGTTTGGAAATTCCAAAGAAACATTTATTTGATTCAATAAATCGTTCTCTCTGTGTACGCAGAACATAGACTCACGTTATTAGCTGATGATGCCTCATTATGATAGTGCGGATGTGACGATTATAATTCACGTGATCTTGCAACAAGTTTTCAATTTTGCACGACAGAACGGCGAGTTGGCCACAAACGTGGAGGGTCATGCTGAGCACGAAGGAGTCCGGCGCCGCATAGCCGCACACTAACATCAGCACTGCAATCGTCTGATAGGCGCACAAGCCTAAGTAGGTGGTCGTGTCCTGAATCTCGAAGAAAGGATAGGTCCGATATGGTAATTCGTACGAAGCATTACGAGAAGATACTATATAAAGTAAAGCCACTTTTAACTTTATCACCGCCACGTATTTGTCTTACACTGCGCTTCTTGTAATTGCTATGTAAAAGTGCACATTTTGCTTTTGTGTTCTGAGCGTTGTGTTAACCTTGTGTTGAATTAAATTTTCGTCGGCTACACGAGTAATGCGAGAGTGTTATGTGTATTGATCAAAGAATCGATTAATCGTACATACAGAAAAATATCATTGTAGTGTTAATAAATAAAAGCAGTTACATAATTTATTTTATTTTTTTAAAGTAATGGTATCGTGTATTGATAAAAACATCGATTTATCGTACATACAGAAAAAGTAATGGTAATGTGTATTGATCAAAGAATCGATTTATCGTATATATAGAAAAATATCATTGTACTACTAACAAAGAAAAGCAGTTACACAATTTATTTTACTTTTTTAATAGTTGTCTTCATCGAAAAATATTTTCTTGGTAATAATTTTAAAATATATTTATCATAAAATTGTGAAAAGCTTATTGTCATGTGCCCAAAAAGAGAATTTATTTTCTTTACTGGAATATTATATAATTTTTTATATCGAAGGTTTTCGATATAATACTTTATATATTAAGTAAACTGAGCGTTAATTTAATATTCCTTGAAATGCAAAATTTACTAGGATCTAGAATGTATTTTGAATAACTTTAATACTATGATAAACTCTTGCGATAGAATTGCCAATATATAAATTTATAAAATATTTAAAACAAATACATATTTCAATGCAGTATATACTTATCTGTGTGTAAACATAGTATGTATCGCGATTACAAAATAGGAATGAAAGTCTTTAAAAATAATTCACTGACGTATTACTCGTTACACATTGAAAAGAGGAATTCGTCATTGTTATCGTCAACCATTTAAAAAAATGATTCGTTAACGTTTTTGTTAGTCAAGAAGTAATAAATCGAAATTTTAACCTTTCTGTTAACAACAGTAAAAATTCGTTATGTAAAATCAGTTATGTAAAATAAGGCGTTGCAATTTTAGATTAAAAAAGCTACATCATTATTAATATGACTAACGGAAAAAGTTGATGCCGTTATCTACTTATAACGACTTCAATATTCAAGAAGAGTAGCTTGAAACGGTGGCGGTATTGTAAATAACTCATTGTTTTTCAACTCCTCTACGACTGGATATCGTCGAAACAGAGAAGAAGAAGAGAAAGAAAACTGTCTTGAAACGTCGGTAATGATTTCTCGAAAAATATTGGCAAAAGTAAATGCAAATACAATTCTGTCGGAAACGCTTGCGCGCTTTCCCTGTTGCGTTGGCCCTCAGCAAAGATATTAATGCTTAACCATTACTTTTGCATCGCACTTTCACACGTGGAGCCATCACATTCTACATACAAGCCTACATATACAAGATCTCGACGCGACACGAGCCATAATGTATTCCGAAACGTCACAGAACATAAAGAAACGTGCGATATGATCGACATACTCCTGCTCCAGTTTCCGAGGAATCCTCGAATGTAGTATAACGTAGCCGCGAATACAGTCATGCCTATCGACACCTTGATGAATATGAGCGCGAACTCGTTGTAGCGCAGGTACAACGTCTTCTCCCGTGCGCTGCTGTAACTCTTGACCGAGAAATCGGACTGAATGACATTCAGAAATTTGATCATTAACCCACGGCTTCGGTCGCATATGAGCATCTTGCCCACGATCATCATGAACGAGACGTTATCCACCAAATTAGCGACGATATATTCCGGCTGGCTGAAATACTTGACTAGATAAGCCACTCCCATGGTGCAATGAATTATCATGTAGCCGCAGAAGAACATGAACAGTGGTCGATTCACTTCCAAAGGCCATATACCCAGAGTGGACAATAACCACCTGTTCCACGATATTATTTTGTATGCTTGGTCGAGTTCCGTTGTCTGAAGGAAAAATTGGGAGATTGTCTTAAAACAATACAAGAATCGCAGTGGAAATATAGATAGGTCGGTAGGCGGTTAAATAGAGAGATAGATAGCGAGATAAATAAATGAATAATAAAGAGATAAGAAAATATATTTATTAAGATAACCTTGTGCTTAAAATGATGAACACAAAATCATAAGGTATATTACGTTCAGTCTGAATTTCAAAGTAAATCAATTATCATCTTATTGTTGCACAGTGATGGAAATTGAAATTCAGTTAAAATCTAATGTAATGTTATCATTTTTGTGTCAGTCATTTGAAACAAGGAAATACTAGACAAGAAAGAATGATTATATACAATTATATAAAAAAATTATAAAAAAATTATAGATAATATTATACAAATTATACATAAACTTTTGCCATTATATAGTCACGTATGTAATTATTTATAACCACATGAAAAAAATGATGTTAAAAAAAAAGGAGAAAGAATGTCTTGCGAAGGAATCCAAACATTTGACGAACTCCGTAGGAAGAATATATTAGAAACAAAAATGTTTAAGAATAGAGAACGGTTAAACAGAGATAGATAGAGACAGAAGGAGAGAGAGGGGCAACTAAAAACTCGAATTCGCATACGTGCATGATTCGTGCGCGCCTTCGACGCGTGTGTATAGCAGACTGAGCGCAAAAGCCTCGTGGTTGTTTCGAAGTAAACTTCCCATTGAACGGGGGAGAATAATCGTCCGTGCAAAAACAAACGACGTATCAATTTTCCTGCAAGATTAATAAACCAGTTGTGCGAGTTTCCTCGCTGTCTCTCGAAAGCGAAACGTAATTGTGAGGCAGCATTCGCCGGAAATTTCGCGGCCACGCCATAATTACAGCTTTCCTCTAACTTCTCTCATTTTGCGTATCATAGGACCTTATCTCGTTACTGTTAATGCGATAATATTGAAAGATAGATCATTCATATAGTCACTCATGTCGGACACACCGTAACTACACGTTATATTCATCAGATGTTACTTTCTTAAAAAAAAGGAGGAAAAAAGGAAAGGAAGAAGAGAGAATATTTTTATTGCAGAGGGCTACGTGACATTTGAGAGACATAGTCATCCAGTGGATAACTATTTAGCAATCAATATCGCGAGTTAATATTAATATTAATATTTTTACCGTTGAGAGAGAAAGAGAGTTTGTGTGTAAACTGCATCGAGATGAGCATATTCCTTCAGGTGGAACATATTAAATTATTAATGAGCGCATGTAAGAGTAAATGACAGCTCGAATGGACACAAGTGATGCTTTTTCATCAACTGTACGAGCCATATCGTGATTCGGCGTCTGTGAAGTTTAAAAATAGCTGAATTTGGCTGAACGAGGAAGATTTCTCAGTTGATTGAAAACAGAAAATCGATTGAGAATTGATAACACTAACTGTAGATCCATTGATTATTAATTGATCATTAAGGATTTGCTTCGCAAAAATGTCGACTTCACAGACGCATATCCAAAAATAAAGATAATGAGAGATACGTTATCAAACGATTTACAATCACTAAAGCATCCAACTCACTCGGATTTCTCATCTAGTTATTTTGCCTTACTCCATATTGTTTAACAGACTTGACACGTAAGAAGAATGTATAACAATAGCACGTATAATAGAGCGACGTGCAGTTATAATCGAACGTGTTGTGAGGTAGATAGTAGGAGCTATTCAAGCTGATCATTACTGTAATCGATTCGATGAGTTTAATATTTTTTTTCCACATTTACTTGAGATCTTCTCATTGATTAAAGGTGAGAAAGTAATACGGTCGCGGCCGAATTTCGATGAAAGAAAACTGATACGATATTTGTCAAGAAATTCTCACTCTAGAGAGGAATAATTTTATGAAACTTATATTCTTAGAATGTCAACTAAAACAACTTTCGAACTTCTCATGGAGACATAGTATGGATTAAGAAGATTGGTCGCCAGCGATAAGATATTAAGGTTATCTAATTAATAACTAAAAATCTACAAAATTATTAAGAGAAAGGTAGAACTAGAAAGGTAGACTTTTTTGTTCAGTTTGATTTAATTTACAAGCATATGATGGCACATGTCGCCACTACAGCTCATCTACCATATCTGGCGTGATCATTCACAAATCGTCTTTAATTAATATCTTGATGATTATTGGAAATATCGCAATATAGAACTTTTATGTTCTTGTATCGAAATATAGAACTTTTATGTTCAATCTATACTCTGCCTCCATGAGAGCTTTGAAGATTATTCTGGAATACCTTATATTTATATCAGTTTCGTTTAATCTTCTTTACACTTTATTCCAGCATCAATGATTATAAATTACAGAAAGTAATTTATATGAATAATGTGATTATAAATTACATTACAGATATAACATAAGAAGAAAAGTATGACATAAGAAAAAATATAAGATATAATACTTATGATGGAGAACAGTTGAAAATGAAAAGAAGCTTTAATGAAAATCATCATCATGATAAACTACGGTCACAAAAAATACCCGGAAAATCCAAGACAAAATGCGAATATAATCTCTCTTCTCACTTTTTGGTAAGAAAAGTTAGCTTATAAGTGATATTTATTGAAATTAACGATAAAAACGTAACATTTAACAACAAAAATGTAACATTTAACAATCTTGCGAAAAGAAACATATCATTTTTGAATTTAGAATTAGAAATTTACAATTATAATTACGAATATGAAAATAATAATGTAGTTAATCTTAATTTAAATTAATTATAATATTGATATTAATTTTAATTATTAATTTTAATAACTAATATTAATATTAATTTTAATTAATCACGATCATTAATTTAATTATCATAATTAAATTTTAAATATATTGGTAAATGTGCCAAGTTTAATTTTATATATATATATATATATATATATATATATATATATATTTATCGTTAATATGCAGGTGGATTCGAAAAATTTTTCGAGTTGGCTATAAAAAGGAGTTGGAAGAGACCGACCTTTACGCTACACTTACACAGGACAAGGCTAGTTATCTAGGAGAAATTATAAATAAAGCTTGGCAAGCTGAAGTAAAGTCCTGTCAGAAAAAGGATTTTGATAGATCAGAGAAGAAGGATATTTCGAAGCCGAAATTAATCAGAGCACTGGTACGCTGCTTTGGAAAACCATATTTGCTAGTCGGAATAGCGCAAGCGATCATGGAATTATTTTCCAGGTACATGAATTTCTGAAGTAATCAGTCATTACACTGTGGCTTTAATGTCGGCAGTCTCTATACACATTTATTCTAAATTAGTCCTATTGATAGTATTGATAGTATTGATAGTAGTAACTCATGAAACTCATGAATTTTAACAAAAAGTCAAGTAACACTCGTACCTCGCTCACTCGTAAGTTCTAGGTGGTTTCATTGCAGAATATCTCAACCGTTGTTGCTCGCTACTTTGCTGCGTTACTTTGAAAAGAGCAAAGAAGAATGGAGCGACGAGGTGTATTACTGCGCGGCCGGTATAATTGTGCTGTCCATCGTGGACACTTTTATTACACATTATGCTGTATATTATATCTTGTATTTAGGATTAAAAATCAAAGTCGCTTGCACCACACTCGTTTACCAAAAGATATTAAGACTCTCGAATTCCGTGCTGCATAATGAAATGTCCGTCGGACAGGTGAGTTATAGATATCAAAATAAGCTTGACAACTAATCTCGGTATATCACGAATGTGTATCTTTATTTTTGCATTGCTCACAACACTGAAAGATTTTTCATTCTAATTACATCTATAAGTATAAATAATGAGGTTGACAGAATCGAAATACTAGAGAGAGAGAGAGGAAGGATAAAACGATACGATCATTTTCAGATGATGAATTTTCTAAGCAGCGATATCACTAGGTTGGAAACATCCCTGATAGATCTGCATTACATTTGGATTGCTCCTATTCAAATGGTGATGATCCTATATTTTATGTTTCCGTTGGTTAGATGGTCAGGCATGCTGGGGATGTCGGTACTTTTGCTATTTATACCTTCACAAGGTATGTTATATTCAGATGTATTATAATAATCGAGAAGGGCACTACACATTTATGTATTATAAACATTTTCTTAAGTCTAAGAAAGCAATGAAACGGATATCAGATTAAAGTTTTCAAATGAGACGGTGTAATTCAATGAAATGTAATTATATCTTACGACGCATAATTAATGTAATTAACTGCTGAATAAAGTGTACTGCTTCAGTGTTCTTGGCACAAAAGATTACATCTTTGATGCTTAAAACGGCAGAGAGGTCGGACTATAGGCTTAGGCTGATGAACCAAGTGATTGCTGGGCTGCAGGTGATAAAAATGTACGTTTGGGAAATTCCCTTCGCCAATCTCGTGGAAAAGGCGAGAAGGTGAGTGCCCATATATGAGTTGAAACCCATTGCAAAATGTTACAATTTCTATTGAACTAGATTCAATCTAGTTCAGACGACATAATGTCTAAAGATCATTTTTAAGACGTCTTTCAGACGATTTACGTATAAATGTCTTTAAGGCGTCTTAAAGATTATCTTTAAGACGTCTTATGTCCCGATTTTAAACATTATTTTATCTGGATCGTTTATTGTCGTGAAGCGAAAACCATAGGAAGCTAATATGCTGCACTATTCGTCGATATACGTGTCCTTAATCCAAATATTTCGTCAAGTTAAATTAAATTCGTCAAGTTATCCTTAAACACAATTTGTTGGTTATTTCCAGACGTGAGATGAACATAATAAAAAAATTCTCCATTCTGATACAGTTGTCTATCACTTTCGAATGCTACGTACCACGACTCTGTCTCTTCGTCACAATATTGTCGTATGTCCTGTTTGGGAATTTCATCAATGCTGAAAAAGTGTATCTAGTAACAGCATACTTCAACGTTTTACGAAACTCGATGATTATTGGGTTCACAATGGGTAAGACTGTCGGTGCAAAGACAAAAATTGGCATTCTTCGCATGCGCGATATATATACTAATTATATTCCTCGATAGAAAGAACATAATAGCACCTTTCACCTAAATTCTTCTAAATTTTACGATAATAATGCAAGGATAAGTATTGTTAGTAAGATTTACCTTGCTGAAGAACATTGTAAATTTTTTAATAGTACATTTCACAAAGATACAAGGAAACCCGAAGTATAACGAGAACTTTAAAATTTTTAGACAGGTTTCCAATATATTAAAAATAAATAAATCAATTTTTGCACTAAAATATTCTTTGGACTATTCACCACAAGAAGACCACAAGTTTTATTGTGAAAGAATAATTTTAAAGAACAAAATTATTGAAAATGTGAATTAATATGCTTCCTACGTGGAGCAAAATAGAATACTTCACAAAACTTGTTTATTTCTTAATCATTGATTTCAAAAAGTTTCTAAAAGCGACTCATTAAAACATACAATATATAAAAATGTATTGCTGCACGTTAATTACATATGATCATTTATTAACAACACTTTTCTTATAAAACGACTTTCTTTTGCTGCACTTTTCTTATTAAAATATTAAAAAAATTATTATATAGTAATCTTTGCTATCAATTTTCTGAAACATAGCACATAATAGGAAATAATGCAACTTAACATTTCAAGAACATAACAGCATAATCCTGTTATACCCCGAAATGTATAAGCTTGGATTATGTAATATAAGACATAAATAATCGACATTTGCACGGGCATTTAATTAAAGTGACGAGAGAACATGTATTATATCGGACGCCCTGTTTGTAAACATTTAATTAATGATAATAATATTTAAAATAATATAAATATATAAATTATAACAGTAAACGCGTATTCCGCAATTAATTATAAGTAATTAAGAACGCGTATTCCTCAGGTCTCCAGCAACTGGTACAGGTACTGGTGAGTTCACGTCGTTTAGAAAAATTTATGATGCACGCCGAGATCGTGAAAACTGCAAAGGAACCATGCCAGAAGTCGACCAAAGATCCGTTCGCGCTGCGCATGATTGATGTCAATGCCAAATGGCAGGACGACGCTAAGGAGGACACGTTGTGCAAAATAAATTTAACTGTGCTCCCAGGGAGCTTCGTAGTCATCGTTGGCCCGGTGGGTTCGGGTAAGAGTAGCTTGTTGCAAGCGATACTCCAAGAACTACCGTTGGCAAGTGGAAGCATCGAGAGTCACGGAAGGATAAACTACGTCAGCCAACAGCCTTGGATCTTCGCCTCATCTGTCAAGCAAAACGTGCTATTCGGTCAGGAGATGGATAAGTCGCGTTACGATCGGGTGATCAAGATCTGCCAGATGGAGTCAGACATAAGTTCGTTCAGCCATGGCGATCGTACCATCGTAGGCGAGAGAGGAATAAATCTTAGCGGAGGTCAACGTGCCAGGCTCAACCTGGCTCGGGCGATCTACAAGGATGCCGATATCTACTTGCTGGACGATCCACTCTCCGCTGTGGATTCCCATGTCAGCAGACGTATCGTCGATGAATGCCTCTGCGGCTTTTTGAAGGTACTCTTTAAATTCCGAATTAAGATCTATACGAATTCTAGTATCTTTCCACAAGTATGAAGAGCGAGTTTTTTACTTTAATCGTAAAGTTAATTTTTCGTCGCAAGTATAAATTTATTTTAATCAACTGATATATTCATTTATATAGATGAAGAGTCCACTCTATAAGTTTGAGTTAAACATTTACTGTTGTGGTCCAGAGAGTATTTTTACTATCACATCGAGCGAATTTTCGATCTTTTGAGTCAGACTTCAATGCAGGGAATTGCAAGAGAATAAGATAGATATCTGACATAGGTTTCTCAAAGTCTCAGATATATTTTATTGTACAAGGACTACAAAAAATAAATTATTAAAAATTTCTATTTTTAATGAAAAAACATAGTGCTCTTGATGTTATGGTCAGAGTCGTTTTATTGCGTTAAAGGAGAAAACGAGAATCCTGGTGACGCATCAGTTACAATATCTACCAGTGGCCGATCAGATTATCATAATGAATAACGGCGATATCCAGCAAAAAGGTACATTCAACGAACTGCAAGACATGGGCCTTGACTTCATGAAGCTATTAAAGACGGTGGACGCGGAGGATGAGGAGATACAAAAGAAGAAATCTGAGTTAACACAACGGCAGATTTCGACGCGCGAGATCAACACAAACGAGGACGCAGACTCGATTGATTCACCGGTTGAAACACGCGAAACAATGGCGAAAGGTCGCATGTCCAGCAGAGTGTTCTTCGCTTACTTCAAAGCGAGTAAGAGGCCCTACATGATCATGCTGATGATGTTGGTCTTCTTGGTGAATCAGATAGTATCCGGCGGTAGCGATTACTTCATCGCCTTCTGGGTGAACATAGAATCAAATTCGTGGCATAAGGACGACAATGGTACGACAGAGTTTGTTTGGCAGGGTTCATTGTCACGCGACTCCACAGTCTACGTCTATAGCGCGATGATCGTGACCATCATACTGCTATGTCAGTTCCAAACATTCGTATATTTTAGCGTATGCATGTGGTCCTCGATAAATCTGCATTCCAACATGTTTCGTAGCATAATGCGGACCACCATGTACTTTTATCACACTAATCCAGCTGGTCGCATATTAAACAGGTACGTACGAAAGAATATAGTTATCTCACGAAGGTTATGGATTTTCCGCGATAATTCTTACCATAAATCTTTGCGCACAAGCACATATTCTCTCTTTGATCTTATCTTCTCAAATGAGAGAGAGAGAGAGAGAGAAATAAGTTATATCGAACAGTTATTTTCATATCCTCTACTTGAAAAACAAAAACCTATTTTCTAATTTGACACCAATTAACTTGATTCTGTGTGAAAGAGAATATATTATCTTCTTTTAATATTATTCTATTAATAATAATTTAATATTTTTCTATTAATAATAATTAATAATTCATATATTCATTAATTTAATTAGGTTTGCTAAGGATATCAATATCGTCGACTTAGTGCTGTCAATGCACCTATTTGACGTCATAGTAATCGGACTCGGATCAATCTCTGTAGTAGTAATAGTCATAGCGATTACTCCATGGTTAGCTGTACCTACTGTGGCTTGTGCTTGCATCTTCATCTTTTTGCGCACGATATATATCTCCACAAGTCGTGCTATTAAACGTCTGGAAGGGACAAGTGAGTGAAACACGCGATATTTATTAAGAACTTCATTTAGAACCGCAATATGCTATAATTTTCGACCAGAAAGCAAGAAAATTAGTGCAAGAAACTTGATCTTTAGTTATAAAATGATTAGAGTTTTAATTATTTGTAGCTCGCTCGCCAATCTTTGATCATCTCAGTGCGTCTCTGCAAGGCTTGACGACGATTAGAGCGTTCAACGCCGAGGAAATATTAGTGGCAGACTTATGCAGACACCAGGATCTCAATTCGTCCGCCTGCTTCCTCTTCTTAGCTACTTCTCGAAGCTTCGGCTTCTATATCGACTTAATATGCCAACTTTACATCGGCGTGATAATCACAGTTTTCACTGTGTTCGACGGCTTGGCTCCGGTGGGCAACATCGGCCTGATCCTCACGCAAATCATGTCGCTAACGGAAACGTTGCAGTCGGGAATGCAACAACTAGCCCAACTAGAGAACGATCTGACGTCGATCGAAAGGATTCTTGAATACAGCAACTTGGAGGAAGAACCGATGATAGACAGCAGGCCGGAGACCAAGCCGTCGGCCGATTGGCCGATGAAGGGTCTCGTAGAGTTCAAGAACGTGAAGCTAAGATACAGCCATCATGACGATTACATTCTGCGAAACATCAGTTTCACTGTGTTGCCCGAGGAGAAAATCGGTATCGTCGGTAGAACCGGTGCGGGCAAGTCGTCCTTGATCAACGCGCTCTTCCGTTTAGCTTGCGTCGAAGGAGAGATTTTTATGGATGGCATCTCCACCGGCGCAATCGCTCTGCACGACTTCCGCTCGAAGATCAGTATTATTCCTCAAGAACCGTTCCTCTTCACTGGCAGTCTGCGACAAAACCTGGACCCCTTTGATCAGTATTCTGACGCAGTGCTGTGGCAGGCGCTCGAAGACGTTGAACTGAAGGACACGATCTCCGACTTGGCCGCAGGGCTGAACACCAAAGTCTCCGATGAGGGATCGAACTTCAGCGTCGGCCAAAGGCAGCTGCTGTGTCTCGCGCGTGCGATTATCAAGAACAATCGGATTATGGTACTTGACGAGGCGACCGCCAATATCGATCCTTACACGGATTCTCTTATCCAAAAAACAGTTAGGACGAAATTTGTAAACTGCACTGTGTTCACTATAGCTCATCGGTTGAATACTATCATGGACAGCGATAGGATATTCGTGATGGACCCTGGACATCTCGTGGTAAGTGTAAAGTACCATTGGATAAACGATCCTCTCTGAAGGAAGAAGTGACGAGAATCACAAATTGATTTCAGGAATTTGATCATCCTTATATACTCTTACAACGAAAAGGACGTTTTTACAACATGGTACAGCAGACTGGTGCTGCGATGGCCGGAAATCTTATGGATATAGCCGCGAAAGTAAGGATTGAATTAATTTCAGCTGTTAGATTACTCTGAAATGAGAATAACTTTTAAAAATCTTTAGACAACCCGATGATTATAAAATGTTGAATTGATAAGATACATTTTTTAGAACATATTTATATCTACGAAAAACATTTATTTTTTTTTAAATGTTATTTTTTGTGTGGATAATATTTAACGTAGTAGTAGTTTTTGTCATTGCATTTTATATTATCAATGAAGAATATTTAGAAAAAGTTTTAATCCTTATAAATCGTGTTGTATTGAGAAATTGTTTTTTGTTTGATTTTTTACAGAGTTTCTTTGAGAAACCAGCATTTAGGTAATCACAGCTATTAATTAGATGCCAAATTTTCTAAAACGTGGTTTTATCATTCTATCGCAGACTCATCGTGCGATTCGTCGTATTTGTGACCTACATTTTGTGGTAATGAAATTTTTAAATGAAATTTACTTGTGTCTTATGTCTATTTTATTTGTGGAATTTCTACAATTTTTAATCTTATAATAATAATAAATATACTGAATAAATCGTCAACCCTCTCTAAGACACGATTAAGCACGAACCAAAAGAAATCAATAAGAACTCACACAAAATGTTGATTACGAATTTTCTTATTGTCTTTGAATACTGTCATTTGTTTCGTTGCTGCAAATGAGAGATTGTCATGGATGATGTTTCTTCCAGCACGATCTCTACGCACAACTTTAGCTCGAAGATCAGTGTTATCCCTTGAGGTAGTTCGTCCGTGAAAATATTATCAAAAAGTGACTATCCGCTTTATATGCTAACAAAGGAACCGTCAGAAGTATTCTTTAGTAATTAAAAATTTTATATTTGAGTACAAGCTGAATATATTGTGTATAGAGAGTATAAAATACTATATATCTTCTGTTATAAAATGTTTTTTTATGCATCTCATATTCTCAACAAAATTCGCTAAAAATTAAGCATTCCGTTATTTTTAAAAAATTATTTTATAACTTCTGAATTTTGAAAGAAGCATAAACATTTATTATTATACAGATCTGTTATTTCAGTGAAGGACTTTTCCGATGGTTTCCCTATAAGATCGAAGTTAATTGACTCGTCGAATTCTGATTTACAACCTTTAAACTTTAATCTTTAATACTTGGACGATAATCTAAAAGTAATCTGACTTAAAAAAAATTAAAAGTGAAAAAAATAAGTAAAAAACTTAAATATATCTTCAATTTATTTACCGCGATATCCGTTTCTCGCTCGATTTCATCGATACATCTTAGGGTGCGTCTACATGGAGCGAACAAATGGCGAAACAAAGGCACAACACAGCGAATGCGAACCAAACTTTCACTAGTGTTCGGTCCGATTCGCTGCGAATCGGCACACGAAAGCGAAGTTCGTGAACGGACAAGGTGAACGGGATTCGTCGACAGCTGTTCGCTGTTCGTTCTTTACGTCTTGACGCTGAAAACAGAAAGGTCTATCAAAAATAGTGTACAATAGAGTGGAATAAAGAACGCGTGATTATTGCTCCGCAGTTGTTCAAAATCTGTTGGTGATGATCTGAGGAAACTTTCAAATCATCTAGCATATCTCTTGCTCTGTGCTGCGTACGACTGTCATGAATCGACGTTCGCCAGCGTCTTCTTTCTCGTCTCTTCTTTTTTAAATCTGTAAGTACTATGAACGACGCAATATTATCTGTCACGTTTACTTCTACTTTTGTGTCGCGAACACCGAATTTGCAATGGACGCGGCCGAATGCGAACGTTTGGTGCGAGCAGAAAACCACCGAATGATTCGCGAACGCAAACATCTGAACGTGCGTTTCGCTATTCGGGCGCTCCATGTAGACGCAAACTAGAGTCAATCTAAGCAGAGTTTGGCCAGTAAGGGAGAAACTTTTGATTGATCCGCTGTTTCGTCAAATCCCACACAATGTCCAATCACAGTCACGCCTATGGCAATAACTTAGATTAAAAAAAGATAGACAAAGAGAGAGATTGAAAATATGTCTCTCTTTCTCGCAGGATTTTGACGAAATCACGCGTAATGGCCAAGCTCTGCTTAAAGTGACTCTAACGCAAACCATGGACCGATAACATATGCTCACAGTCTAGAGAAATGTATCCCCATCAGAACTGAAAGAGATGCCAAATAACTTCACGGTGTGAAGTGTTATTTCACAGTGTTTTCTTATGCACTTCAAACCGCAAATGACATTTCACAAGAAATATCGCATCTGCCCCCACTTTTCTCCCGTTTTATCACGGCACGGACATTGTGCGCATTCTCGGAGGAAACTTCACACTGTGAAGTTATTTTGCATCTCTCTCAGTTCTGACGGAGACACGAAATTCTGCGTATAAGATAAGGGATGAGCAGTCCATACATTATAAATCCATAACGCAAACTTGCATGTGTAATTAACGTCGGGAGAATCGTATATCGCTTAAGTGAATACGTAAGCAAGTGTTATGTTTTTATTGCCGCTAAAAGTATATTATCTTTCTCGCGTTTCTTTCAAACAGTCTATTAGAAAATTGTTTAAGACTTTTTCTATTTCTCACTATTGAAAGAAGCATTGAAGATATCACTCAGACAAACGTTACATACCATTGATACGTAGAAAGAGTAAACTGCTGCAAAGTAATAACACTGTACAAAAAGCTATATCATAATGTTTATTCTTTTAGAATCATTTTTCATTGCAGTCGAATACACAGACATGTCTCGAAGATTATTATCAGTATAAGACTTTTATTTAACATTAAATTCATCAATTATTAGTATAATTAATAATTTCATTGTTTATACATTTGTCCCATAAATATATATTTCGACGTATTCTCTGTACATCATCGAAACGAGAAGTAGATGCAAGGTATTTCAGGGCGAAGGTTACTCACATAAATTGACGCAACATAGACAAGTACGCCATCGAAGTTTTCACTATCTGCAAACGATGTAAAGTACAAAAGTCGCGTAACGAAATGCTGACGGTAATAATTTAGACTTACGTAAGTACAAGTTATTAACTTACACTCGTGAATGTATTCAAAGATAACATGCAGAATTTACCGGCAGTCAACACCAACGGTTTCTCGGATCGAGTCATACAAAAGCTAAGCATTTTTGCGCACGATGGTGGATTATTGTACCAATCAGTGTTGTAAAAAGTGTCGCGCAATTTGACGCTCTGAGTGAAACAAGTGATTTCTCATATTAGTCAATGGCAGAAAGGTTGCGACATCCTTTCTTTCAATGAAATTCGCAACGCGTCTGTATCCAATAGGAATTGCTTGGTCATTCTCAGAAGTTATATTTTCCTATTGCATATCAAGGATATTTTGAAGTTCATCGAAGTGAAAGTGAGCTTCTTACCATTGAGTATATAGTTAGCTGCGAAACAGTTTAGACACAATAAATTTGGGAGTTTATTAAATTGTCAAAATTGAGAGTTACTATTAACTGGCTTGCCCAATAATTATAATATTATAAATTATTATTACTAATTAATATTAGTATTAGTATTATTTACTATTATTTAGTATTCTTGATTATATTATTATTGCGTAAGTCCATTTGGTAATCAATCTTAATTTTGACAATTTGGTGAGCTCTGATGAACTTCATTGTGTTTAAATCATTTTGACTTATATGTTAAGATTGAAAATAGTATTCAGAAAAAAAGACAATTAAATTAATTGTTTAAACCTATTCTTATTGATACGATAAGACAAATTACAAGATTGGCCCCATAAATACCTCAGTAATGAGGCATTCTCCTATATAGCAGTATGCGAGGATTGTGCTGACTACGCAGCAAGTGTAAAACAAGAAACTCACCATGTTGGTATTATCGCCATGTTCCGAATTCTGAAATACAATTTTATTTTGCTTACAGCCGACGATATCAGAAAACTTGAGTCTAAACCAATTTCCCGAATTAGTGTTAAATGAATACATAACGTTATTTGATATTCAAAACTTTCGTGAAGAAATCCTAAATTTGGCTTCGAGTTGGCCGCGTTCTTTCTGCATTTGTTTCCAGTATTAGTTTGCTACTTTTTTTGATGAAATGAACTGAAATGTTCATAAGAAGTTGGAAACAATTTTATCGAAAACACGGTCCTAGTCTTGAAGCCAAATCCAGCATAACGTTATTCTTTTTATAAAATATTATTGAGCTTAGAATCTCAAATCGTGGAACTCACCGCGAGCATGTGATACGTAGTTAAACAGAGCAAGAAAACGGTCCCCAAAGTTTGTTGAAGAAATATCATATTGTAATTACTTTCCAAGATCTCTGCTAATCTGGAATGCGCTGATTTCTTAAGATTATATTATTGTATTATTCCCGACATTGAATTAAATTGTTATTGCGCGATTCTACAAGGGTCATCTTACGTTGTATAAACGCGTAGAGTTCAAGATAAGGAAATCAAAATTACACGTTATAAAAGTATAGATTCAACGTACTTTTGTTTAGAATTAGAACTATTTTATTCGATTGTCCTTCTTGCTTATTTGTACGAAGATTGTCCATACTTTTTTCATTCTTATCTTCAATAAATCTATTCACAAGAGTCGATTATGAATCTCTTCCTTTAATGTAAATTCGTAAAAAGTGAAAATTTTCCTACTTAAAAGTGTATGAAATTTTTCATTTGTCATGAATTTATTTTCTAGGAAAAGAATCATGATCTACTCTTCAATCTATAATTAATTAAGAATTCGATTTGATGCATTAGTATGCACATCAGGGCGCACTAAGGTCGGTATTATAGTTATTATATTTAAGATCAATATTATATTTAAGCTATATTTATAGTTTTTTATTTTCAAAACCATCTTAAGCCATCTTCAACTTCAAATGTACAAATCGTTTTATTAGCTACGGAGCATTCAGAGGTGATTTTAAAACAGTTTTAAATATAAGAACGAACTGTGATACCGATTTTACTGAACACTAGTGTACATTAATACGTCACGTCGAAATTTCGCTATAAGAGGTAAGACAAGAGAATGGAGCATACAAAGAGTAAATAAAACGAATGTAAAAATTTGACTAGAATTTAACCCTACAAAATCGGATGATCATCTTTCTGACTTGTAATGGACTTTCTACAATAAGTCGTTAGTCGTAACACATAACGCATAACACATAAGGCATAAGAGAATCTACCAATCAGAATTCTTCATTTCTATTCTGAAAGACTGCAATTGGTGGATTTTCTTATATGTCATGCGTTATGTGTTATGACTTACTTACGGCTTATTGTAGATAGTTCACAAGACAGGAATCCTAAGTCATAAAGGAAAGATGATTATCTTTCCCACGTTTTAATAACGGACAAACACACACACACATGGAACATAGACTCACGTTATTAACTGACGATGCCTTATTACGATAGTACGGATGTGACGATTATAATTCACGTGATCTTTCAACAAATCTTCAATTCTGCACGACAAAACGGCGAGTTGGCCACAAACATGTAGGGCCATGCTGAGCACAAAGGAATCCGGTGCTGAATAGCCGCACACTACCACCGGCACGGCAATGATCTGATAGGCGCATATACAGAAGTAGGTGGTCATATCCTGGATGTCGAAGAAAGGATAGGTCCGATACGGTAATTCGTACGAAGCATTACTAGAAGGTACTGCCAATAAAGTAAAGCCACTTTTAACTTTACCACCGCCACGTAATTGTCTCACATTGCGCTTCTTGTAATCGCTACGTAAAGTAGCTTGCAAGTGCACATTTTGTTTTTTGTTCTGAGCACCACGTCGTATTAACTTTGCGTCAAATTAAATTTTCGTTGGCTACAGAAGTGATGCAAGAGTGTTATGTGTATTGATCAAAGAATCGATTTATCGTACATACAGAAAAAAATATCATTGTACTGTTAAAAAACGCGATCACTCAATTTATGGCTAACTCTTATTTAACGGAAAAATGTTGGCGCCATTATCAAGTTGTTATAACAACTTCAATATTCAAGAAATCTAGCTTCAAGAAATCTAGCTTGAAACGTTATTGCAAGTAATTCATTACTTTCTAACTGTGCTGCGATTAGAGATGTGCGAATCAAAGATTTCTTATGTCGAATCGAATCGAATCTCAGATTTTAATTTCGAATTCGAATCGAATCGAATCGATGAAATTTCACTGAAATCGAATCGAATCGTTGAAAAGATTTTTAATTAACATAATCATTGAATTCAACATGAAAATAGTGACTTCAGTATGAAAAAGATAACATTGATCATATGATATCAATTCATTTTAAAGTAAGAAATATATAATATATTTCAGTTCCAGCCTTGAAAGCTGCGCAACGACACATATCGATTCGACAGCTGCCAGTAAGAGTTTATCTAGGATTATCTTCATTTAATATTTTTGAAGAAAATCATAATGTATAGCAAAATATTCAAGTCATACTAATTCCCGTAAGGCTGGATGTCTTTAATAGTACTTCATTAATGCTAAAATGCGTGATCCGTATTCGAATCTTTTCGATTCAAAATTTTCAAATTATACGGATTCAAATCATAAAGATGTGAATTTGAATCGAATTTCACTTGATTCGATTCGATTCGAATTTGAATAGTTCGCACATCTCTACATTGAGAGAAAAGACTGGTAATTATAACAAACTGCATTTAGTTATAGAAATTCGTTGAATCCTTAGTATCTAATACTAAATATTATAATAATTACCAAATATTTAATAGATCGGGAGTAATTGCATTCACAGTAACATCAATTAAATAATTTAATAATAGTTACTTAATGTTAAATATTTAATATGAAATATATTACGGTTATGAACAGATATTTGATAATTGTTATGAAATTGTTATATCCCATATAATAAAAGATTCAGTAGGTACGAGTTCTATTTTGTTACTAATATAAGTATGTTTTGTTGCAGCACAACGAAAAATTCATTTGCAGTTATTACATCGTTTCAATATCTATTATTACAGATGGTTGGTTGAACCTACCAAAAATTTTGTAACTATTACAAAATCGCTTATTTTGCTCAACTATTCAATAAGTTTTATTTACCAAATATATTCTGGAAGCAAATAAATTTTACTTCTGTCAAATAAATAATTTATTTTACAGGTCTAAATTAATTAATAAGTATTGCCATAGCTTTGGCCCGCTATATTTACGTCTACCATTTAGTAATAGTAACCAAATTTTAGTAATATTTACTAAATCCTTCTCTCAGTGTAGCTGCGATTAAATATTTCGTCTGAACAGAGAGAAGAGAGAGGGAGAAAAACCTACCAAAATGCAAAACAGTCTCGGCGCGTTGATGAATTCTCGAAAAATATTGACAAAAGTAAATAAGGATACAATTCCGTATTTGTCCTCGGTGAAGATATTAGTGCTTAATCATTGCTTTTACATCATGCTTCCGCACCGAGCCACCGCATTCTGTATGCACGCCTATACAAGGTCTCGACACGACACGAGCAATAACGCATTCCGAATCGTCAGGAGATACAAAGAAACGATATGACCGACGTACTTACTTTTGCTCCAGCTTTCGAGAAACCCTCGAATGTAGTACAACGTGGCCGTGAATGAGGCCATACCTATCGACACCCTGATGAATAAGAGCGCGAACTCGTTGTAGCGCAGGTACAACGTCTTCTCCCGTGCGCTGCTGTAACTCTTCACCGAGAAATCAGGCTGAATGTCGTTCAAAAATTCAACCATTATCCCACGGCTTCGGTCGCATATGAGCATCTTGCCTATTATCATCACGAACAGAACGTTGTCCGCTAAATTGGCGACGATGTATTCCGGCTGGCTGAAATACTTGATTAGATGACCCACTCCCATAGTGCAGTGAATTATCATGTAGCCGCAGAAGAAGATGAGTCGTGGCCGACTCACTTTCAAAGGCCATATACCCATCGTGGATAATAACCGCCTGTTCCACGATATTATTTTGAATGCTTGATCGAATTCCGTTGCCTGAAGGGAGATTGTTGTAAGATTTGATATTTGAGGCCTCCGCGGTGTTCATGAATGTTAGATTTGGTTTTCCGGGTTTGAGCCGCGTTTGGATTCTTCTTTGTCTGATTCCGACGTTTCGCGAACGTTTCAGCGGACTGAAATGTTCGCGAAACGTCAGAATCAGACCAAGAAGAATCCACGCGGCTCAAGCCCGCAAATCAAATCTAATATTGTTGTAAGATAATACAAGAATTGCAGAGGAAATAGATAAGTCGGTGGATGGCTAAATAAAAAGATTGATGGCTACAGAAATGGATAGATGAACAATAGAGAGATAAATATAGAAATAGATAGAGAGAGATAGAAACAGATTTATTAAGATAACCTTGTGCTTAAAATGATGGACACAAAACAGTTAGATTATAATTACGTTTAGTCTGAATTTCAATGTAAATTTATCATCTTATTGCTGCATAGAGAGATTTAAATTGAAATTCAGGCTAAATCTAATGTAATGTTATCATTTTGTGTCCGTCACTTGAAATAAAGAAATATTCGACTGGGAAAGATTGATTATATATAATTATATAAAAAATGATATATGACAACATATAAATTGTATATGAATTTTATCTCCTTGTATGGCCACATGTAATTATCTATATCCAGATGAAAAAATGATGTTAAAAGAAAAAAAGAAAGAATAGTTTATGAAAGAACGCAAACATTTGATGGCCTCCGTAGAAAGAATATATTAGAAATAGAAGCGTTAAAGACTAGAAAACAGTTAAATGGAGATAGCGGGAGAGAGAGAGAGAGGCGACTAAAAATTTGAATTCGCATACGTGCATAACTCGTGCGTGCTTTCAATGCGTGTGTATAATAGACTGAGCGCAAAAGCCTCGTGGTTGCCTCGAAGTAAACTTTCCGTCGAATAGGAGAGAAAAGTCGACCGTACAAAAACGTACAAACAACGTATCAATTTTCCTGCAAGATTAATAAACCGGTTGTGCGAGTTTCCTCATTGTCTCTCGGAATGCGACGTCGGAAACGAAACGTAATTGCGAGGCAGCATTCGTCCGAAATATCGCGGCCACGCCATAATTACAGCCTTCCTCTAACTTCTCTCGTTTTCGCGTATTATAGGAAGTTGTTATAGTCTCGTGTATTATAGTCTCGTGTATTATAGTCTCGTTGTTCTTATCATACGGTATTATCAAAAGATATCATTTATATAGTCAGTCATTTCGAACTCACCGTAACTACATGTTGTGTTTCGTCAGATGATACTTTCTTAAAAAAAAAAGGAGAAAGAAGAGAGAATGTTCTTAGGGAACCATGTGACATTTGAGAGATATACCATTAAGTGACTGACGCACCGAGTCAGCGCGCGACCATTTAACAGTCAACATCGCGAGTTAATATTAACATTAATATTTTTACAAATTAATATCTTTGTCGAAGGTAAAAGAGAGAGAAAGAGTGTGTGAGTGTGTGTACGCGTTTAAACCGCATTGAGATGAGTACATTCCTTCAAGTGGAACGAATTAAATTAATAGCGAGCGTTTGTAAGAGTCAACAACAGCTCGAGTAGACACGAGTGCTGCTTTTCAGTTGAACGAGCTATTATATATCGTGATTCGACGATCGAGAGGCTTAAAAATAGCTGAATGCGGCTGATTTCGGCTGAACGAGGAAGACTTCTGAAGTTGATTGAGAACAGATAAGCGATCTAAGATTAACAAATAACACTAATTGTATATCTACTGATTGTTAATTGGTCATTAATGGTTTCGCGGAAATGTCAACTTCGTAGGCCGTTCTCGGATAAAATGACGAATATGCAACTTCCGAGAATAGCGATAGTGAGAGATCAAATGCGTTATCAAACAATTTACAACCTCTGAAGCGTCCAACTAATCACTCGGGTTTCTCGTCTGATTGCCTCGCGTTGCCCCACATTGCTTAACAGACTTGACATACGATAAGAATGTATAACAGTAGCGCGTACAATAGAACGACGTGCAGTTGTGATCGAACGTGTTGTCAGGTAGATTGTGGGAGCTACTCGACCTGATCGTTAACGTAACCGAGTTCGGTGAGTTCGATACTTTCTTCCCACGCTTACTGGTGAAATTTTTTTACTGATTGAAGGTGAAAAGATGATACGGCCGCGGTCGAATTTCGATGAAAGAAAACCGATACGATATTCGTCAAGAAATTTCCACTTTGGAGAGAGGAAACGTTTTATCAAACTTATATTCTTATCGCTCTCGTTTTGTGTTCCTAACGCTTTATTCGAATGATTATAAATTACGTCTACATTACAGACATAACATGAATATGATGTAATACGCTTATGATGGATAATAGTTGAAGATGAAATAGAGCCCGCTCGAAAATCATCATCATGATAAACGACGGTCACAAAAAATACCCGAAAAATCCGCGACAAAATGCGAATGTGATCTCTCTCCTCACGTATTGGTAAGAAAAGTTAGCTTGTAAATGATACTTATTAAAATTAACGATAAAAACGTAACATTTAACGACAAAAATATAACACTTAATGACCCTGCATAAAGAAATATATCATTTTCAAATTTAGAATTAGAAATTTACAATTACATTTAGGAATATGACAACAATATATAGTTATTCCATTATCATAGTTGAATTTTATTAATATATTGATAAATGTATCAAGTTTCATGAAAAATTAATATATTCGTATATAATTCTTGCTAATATATAAAATTAATATATAATATAAATAATAATAATATATAAAATTAATATACTCGTATATAATTCTTGTTAATATATGCAGGTGGACTCGAAAAATTTTTCGAGTTGGCTATAAAAAGGAGTTGGAAGAGACCGACCTTTACGCTACACTTACGCAGGACAGGGCTAGTTATCTAGGAGAACTTATAGATAAAGTTTGGCAAGCTGAAGTGAAGTCATGTCAGAAAAGGAATGGATCTAAGAAGAAGGATGTTTCGAAGCCGAAATTAATTAGAGCATTGATACGCTGCTTTGGAAAACCATATCTGCTAGTCGGAATAGCGCTAGTGTTTATGGAATTATTCTCCAGGTACATGAATCTCTGAAGAAATCAGTCACTACACTGTGGCTTTAGTGTCGGCAGTCTCTGTGCACATTTATTCCAAATTAGTCTTATTGATAGTATGACTCATGAAACTGTATTTTAACAAAAAATGAAGTAACCTCGCTAACTCGTAAGCTCTAGGTAGTTTCGATTACATTGCAGAATATATCAACCGTTGTTGCTCGCTACTTTGCTGCGTTACTTTGAAAAGAGCAAAGAAGAATGGAGCGACGAAGTGTATTATTGCGCGGCCGGTATAATTGTGCTGTCAATCGTAGACGCTTTTATTGTACATTATACTGTACATTATGCTATGCATTTAGGATTAAAAGTCAAAATCGCTTGCACCACACTCGTTTACCAAAAGATATTAAGACTCTCGAATTCCGTGCTGGATAGTGAAACGTCCGTCGGACAGGTGAGTTCAAAATAATAAACATTAGTTTGCCAACTAATCTCGGTGTACCACGAATGTGTATTTTTGCATTGCTCACATACTAAAAGATTTTTCATTCTAATTACATCTATAAGTATAAATAATGAGGTTGACAGAATCGAAATACTAGAGAGAGAGAGAGGAAGGATAAAACGATAAGACCATTTTTAGATGGTGAATTTCCTGAGCAGCGATATCACTAGGTTGGAAACATCCCTGATAGATCTGCATTACATTTGGATTGCTCCTATCCAAATGGTAATGATCCTATATTTTATGTTTCCGTTGGTTGGATGGTCAGGCTTGCTAGGGATGTCGGTACTTCTGCTGTTTATACCTTTTGAAGGTATGTTATATTCAGATGTGTTAAAATAATCGAGAAGGGCACTACACCTTTATGTGTCATAAACATTTTCTTAAGTGTAAGAAAACGATAAAACAGATATCAGATTTCAAATGAGACGGTGTGATTCAATGAGATGTAATTATACCTTGCGACGCGTAGTTGATGTAATTAAATGCTGAATAAAGTGTATCATTTCAGCGTTCTTGGCGCGAAAGATTATACCTTTGACGCTTAAAATGGCAGAGAGGTCGGACCACAGGCTTAGACTGATGAACCAAGTGATTGCTGGGCTGCAGGTGATAAAAATGTACGTTTGGGAAATTCCTTTCGCCAATCTCGTGGAAAAGGCGAGAAAGTAAGTATACGTTGAAACCTATTGACAAACATTGCAATTAGTTCACTGAATTAGATTCAATCTATTATCGTTTATTATCGCAAAACAAAGATCATAGGAAGCTGATATATTACACTATTATATACGTATCCAGAAACTAGCTGCAGCTGCAGCAAAAACTCTCCAAGTTATCCTTAAATACAATTTGTTGATTATTTCCAGACGTGAGATGAACGTAATAAAAAAGTTCTCCATTCTGAAACAATTGGCTCTCACTCTCGATTGCTATGTACCACGGCTCTGTCTCTTCGTCACAGTATTGTCGTACGTTCTATTCGGGAACTTTATCAATGCTGAGAAAGTGTATCTAGTAACAGCGTACTTCAACGTTCTACGAAACTCGATGATTTTTGGGTTCGCAATGGGTAAGACTATCAGTGCAAAAACGGAAATTGGCATTTTTCGTATTTGTGATTCGCATTTTAATTATATTTCTTGACGGACAGAATATTATAGCTCTTTTCATCTGAATTTTTCTATATTTTACGATGTTCTGGGCAAAAATAGATACAGTAAGATCTATTTTACTGAAGAACATTGTAAATTTTTTAATAGCACATTTCACAGAGGTATAAGGGAACTCGGTGCATAATGACAACACTCTAAAGTTTAAACAAGATTCAAATATATTAAAAATAAGTGTATCAACTGTGTTTTGTACTAAAATATTCTTTGAAGTATTTACCACAAGAAAAACACAAATTTCACTATAAAAAAATAGTTAAAAAAAACGAAAATATTGTTTTATTGAAAACGTGAATTAATATGCTTCCTACGTGGAGTAAAACAGAATGTTTCACAAAACATGTTTATTTCTCAATTATTGATTTTAAAAAGTTTCTAAAAGTATCTCATTAAAACATGCAGTATATAAAAACCTATTATTGCTTAATTATTTATAATTATTTATTAATAATATTTTTCTCATAAAACGATAAAATTCTCTTTTCTTATTAAAATATTAATAACAATTATTACTATAGTATAGTAATTTTAGTATCAATTTTCTGAAATATAGCGCATGATAAGAAATAATAGAACTTAATATTTTAAAGATATAATGACACACTCCCACATAGCAGAGGTGTTCAAAATATATCACAGGGATATCCTAAAGATATATTTGAGATATGCGATATCTTCAAGATATCCTTATGATATATTTGGGACGTTCCTGCTGTGTGAGACTGTTATACTCCGAAATGTATAAATTGAAATTATATGGTGTAAACATCGTAGATATTTGCACAGACATTTAATTAAAATAATGAGGAAAGACATATTATTGGGCACTCTGCTCATAAACATTTAATTAATGATTAATAATATTTATAATAATATAAATATATAAATTATAGTAGTAAACACACATTCTCTGCAGGTCTCCATCAGCTGGTACAGGTACTGGTGAGTTCTCGTCGTCTAGAAAAATTCATGATGCACGCCGAGATCGTGAAAACTGCGAAGGAACCATGCCAGAAGTCGACCAAAGATCCGTTCGCGCTGCGCATGATTGATGTCAATGCCAAATGGCAGGACGACGCTAAGGAGGACACGTTGTGCAAAATAAATTTAACTGTGCTCCCAGGGAGCTTCGTAGTCATCGTCGGCCCTGTGGGTTCGAGTAAGAGTAGCTTGTTGCACGTGATACTCCAAGAACTGCCGTTGGCAAGTGGAAGCATCGAGAGTCACGGAAGGATAAACTACGTCAGTCAACAGCCTTGGATCTTCGCCTCATCTGTCAAGCAAAACGTGCTATTCGGTCAGGAGATGGATAAGTCGCGTTACGATCGAGTGATCAAGGTCTGCCAGATGGAATCAGACATAAGCTCGTTCAGCCATGGCGATCGTACCATCGTAGGCGAGAGAGGAATAAATCTTAGCGGTGGTCAACGTGCCAGGCTCAACCTGGCTCGGGCGATCTATAAGGATGCCGATATCTACTTGCTGGACGATCCACTCTCCGCTGTGGATTCCCATGTCAGCAGACGTATCGTCGATGAATGCATTTGCGGCTTTTTGAAGGTATTCTCTAAATTCCCTCCAATTAAATTCCACACGAATTCTAGTATCTTTCCACACGTATGAAGCGAATTCTTCAATTTAATCGTAGAGTTAATTTTTCATTAAAAGTTGGATAGTAAATTTAATATACTCCGCAATTACAAATTCATACTAATCAATTGAAATAATTATTCAGATGAAGAATCCACTCTATGTATAAGTTTGAGTTAAACATTTTACTGTTGTGATATCGATTCTTTCACTATCACACCAAATCAAATTTATTTTAATAATTTAAAGAATTTTTTAATATTTTAATATTCTTTTAATATTTAAAAGAATTTAATATTAAGCCGAGATTCAAACCTAAGTATTTTGAGTCTCCGCTAAATTATTAAGCCGAGATTCGAACCGAATTTTAATGTTATGTTCTGTTTCACTTCATTACCTTAAAGGAGAAAACGAGAATCCTGGTGACACATCAGTTACAATATCTACCACTGGCCGATCAGATTATCGTAATGACTAACGGCGGTATCCAGCAAAAAGGTACATTCAACGAACTGCAAGACATGGGCCTCGACTTCATGAAGCTATTAAAGACGGTGGACGCGGAGGATGAGGAGATACAAAAGAAGAAATCTGAGTTAACACAACGGCAGATTTCGACGCGCGAGATCAACACAAACGAGGACGCAGACTCGATTGATTCACCGGTTGAAACACGCGAAACAATGGCGAAGGGTCGCATGTCCGGCAGAGTGTTCTTCGCTTACTTCAAAGCGAGCAAGAGGCCCTACATGATCATGCTGATGATGTTGGTCTTCTTGGTGAATCAGATAGTATCTGGCGGTAGCGATTACTTCATCGCCTTCTGGGTGAACATAGAATCAAGTTCGTGGCGTAAGAACGACAATGGTACGACAGAGTTTGTTTGGCAGGGTCCATTGTCACGTGACGCCACAGTCTACGTCTATAGCGCGATGATCGCGATCATCATACTGCTGTGGCAGTTCCAAACATTCGTATATTTTAGCGTATGCATGTGGTCCTCGATAAATCTGCATTCCGACATGTTTCGCAGCATAATGCGGGCCACCATGTACTTTTATAACACTAATCCAGCTGGTCGCATATTAAACAGGTACGTAAACGCACAGTTATCTCACAGAAGTCGTGAATTATTTTCCGCGATAATTGTTACCTTTGCACACTTACACAAGCGCATATTTTCTCTCTGATCTTATTTTCTGAATCGATTTTTGTTTTCCCAAATACGAAATTACATCGAGCAGTTATTTTTGCTTCCTTAATTTATTCGAAAAAGAAAAATTCATTTTTTCAATTGATACCAACTGAAAACAATTCTATATGAAAGAAAACATCGTTTCCTCTTAATAATGCTATGTTAATAATTATTAATAATTGATTGATTTGTTAATTTAATCAGGTTTGCTAGGGACATCAATATCGTCGACTTGATGCTGTCAATGTGCGTATTCGACATCATAGTGATCGGACTCGGGTTAATCTCTGTAATAGTGATAGTCGTAGCGATTACTCCATGGTTAGCTATACCCACTGTGGCTTGCGCCTGCATCTTCATCTTTTTCCGCACGATATACATCTCCACCAGTCGCGCTGTTAAACGTCTGGAAGGGATAAGTGAGTGAAACACGCGATATTTATTAAGAACATGATTTAGAGCCATAATATGCTGTAATTTTCGATCAGAAGAGTTTTGAAAGTAAATGTTGATCTTTACACGCTTAAGACGGTTAGAGCTCCAATTATTTGTAGCACGCTCGCCGATTTTCGATCATCTCGGCGCATCTCTGCAAGGCTTGACCACGATCAGAGCTTTCAACGCGGAGAAGACATTAGTGGCGGACTTGTGTAGACATCAAGATCTCAATTCGTCCGCCTGCTTCCTCTTCTTGGCTACTTCTCGAACCTTCGGCTTCTACATCGACTTAATATGCCAACTTTACATCGGTGTGATAATCATAGCCTTCACCATGTTCGACAGCTTGGCCGTGGTGGGCAACATCGGTCTGATCCTCACGCAGATCATGTCGCTGACGAACACGTTGCAATGGGGAATCCGACAAACGGCCGAACTAGAGAGCCAGCTGACGTCGATCGAAAGGATCCTTGAGTACAGCAACTTGGAGGAAGAACCGATGATAGACAGCAAGCCGGAGACCAAGCCGCCGGACGATTGGCCGATGAAGGGTCTCGTAGAGTTCAAGAACGTGAAGCTAAGATACAGCCATCATGACGATTACATTCTGCGAAACATCAGTTTCACTGTGTTGCCCGAGGAGAAAATCGGTATCGTCGGTAGAACCGGTGCGGGCAAGTCGTCCTTGATCAACGCGCTCTTCCGTTTAGCTTGCGTCGAAGGAGAGATTTTTATGGATGGCATCTCCACCGGCGCAATCGCTCTGCACGACTTCCGCTCGAAGATCAGTATTATTCCTCAAGAACCGTTCCTCTTCACTGGCAGTCTGCGACAAAACCTAGACCCCTTTGATCAGTATTCTGACGCAGTGCTGTGGCAGGCGCTCGAAGACGTTGAAATGAAGGACACGATCTCCGACTTGGCCGCAGGGCTGAACACCAAAGTCTCCGATGAGGGATCGAACTTCAGCGTCGGCCAAAGGCAGCTGCTGTGTCTCGCGCGTGCGATTATCAAGAACAATCGGATTATGGTACTTGACGAGGCGACCGCCAATATCGATCCTTACACGGATTCTCTTATCCAAAAAACAGTTAGGACGAAATTCGTAAACTGTACTGTGTTCACTGTAGCTCATCGGTTGAATACTATCATGGACAGCGATAGGATATTCGTGATGGACGCTGGACATCTCGTGGTAAGTGTAAAGTATCATCGGATAAATGATCCTTTCTGAGGGGAGAAGTGACAAGAATCAGAATTGATTTCAGGAATTTGATCATCCTTACGTACTCTTACAACGGAAAGGACGTTTCTACAATATGGTACAGCAAACTGGTGCTGCGATGGCCGAAAATCTTATGGATATAGCTGCGAAAGTAAGAATTGAATCAATTTTAGCTATTAGATTACCTTGTTTGCTAAAAAATGAGAGTAACTTTTAAAAATCTTCTTTGGCGACTTGATGGTTTTAAAATGTCAAATTGATAAAATACATTTATTAGAACATATTTAAATCTACGAAAAATAACTATCTTTTTTGAATATTGTTTGTTGTGTGGATGATATTCAGTGTATAGTAGTTTTAACATTTCATTCCGTATTATCGATGCTTTGCTGAAAGATATTTAGAAAAAGTTTTTAATAATATAATGCTTATATATAAATCGTGTTGTATTGAGAAATTGTTTTGATTTTTTACAGAGTTTCTTTGAGAAGGATAGACCACCATCCAGATAATCACAGCTTTCAATTAGATGCCAAATTTCCTAAAATATGTTTCCATTATTCAACTGTAGAATCGTATAATTTGTCGCGTTTGTGACCTTTCATTATCACCGTGTGATAATGAAATTTTTAAATAAATTTGACTTTTATATCTATTTTATATGAAAAATGTCTACAGTTTTCAATCTTATAATACTAATATTTTTATTCTTATAATAATAATAATAAATATGCTATAAATTATCAACTCTCTTTGATGCACGATCAAGTACAAACCAAAAAAGTCAATAAGGTCTCACGCAAAATATTGATTACGATTTTTCTTGTCGTCTTTGAATACTCTCCTCTGTTTCGCTGTGTCGAAGGAGAGATTCTCATGGACGGTGTTTCCCCCGGCGCGATCAGAGCACAACTTCAGCTCGAAGATCAATGTTATAGCATACAAAACTACATAGATCTCTTTTTTTTGGTGCTTTACACCTATCCGAATTGTAGTAAAGGACTTTCCCGGTGAAGGACCTCCAATGGTTTTCCTGTAAAATCAAAGTTGACTCGTCGAATCCTGATTTTCAACCTGTAATCTCTTTAATCTCCAGTAATTTGACAATAATCTGACAGTAATTCGACTTCAACGTAAAAGTACATTCAACTTATTTACCTCGATATCTGTTTCTCGTTCGTCAACTTGACAGATGTTTTATTTGTGTAATTAATGTCGAAAAAATTGTGTATCGCTTAAATAAATGCGTAAGGTAATGTTATGTTTTTTAATGCTGCTAAAAATATATTATCTCTTTCGCGTTTCTTTCAAGTTGTCTGCTAGAAGGTTTAAGACTTTTTCTACTTCTCAATATTGAAGAAATATTAAAGATATCACACAGACTGACGTTACATGCCATCGACACGTACAAAACGCAAACTGTTACAGAGGAATAATGTTTATATTGTATAAAAAATTATATGTGGGGATCGTCCCTAACAGCACATATTAGTTAACCAAACCGATTGGCCGTTATAGATTCTACATAGACCGTTATAGATTCAACTTAGACCAATGCTTTGTACCGTCCGGGATCTTTCCTAGATAACATGCATGCTAAAAGATGTCGAAAAAATATCTAAAGACATCTTATGCAACATTTTGTTGCATAAGACGTCTTTTAGATATCTTTTCGACATCTTTTAGACATGTTATCTGGGTTTCGTTATCTTTCATTATACGAGAAGTTGAGCGCATAGACTTATCTTGAAGGTTATTGATATTATTGATATTATTGATATTATCGATATAAGATATTTATTTGACACTGGTAAGTTCAAAAATTATTTGTATAGTTAAGGATCTCATTGTTTATACATTTGTGTGTGTGTATCGCCCCGTAAATACATTTTAATCAACATATTCCCTGACATATCAACATTTCCCCGATATATCGAGACGGGAGGTGGACGCAAGATATTTCAAATTGAAGGCTTCTCACAGGAAATGGCGCAACATGGACAAGTACCCCATCGAAGTTTTCACTATCTGCAAGACGGAATAAATTGTAAAAGTGACGTAGCGCAGGAAAATACATAAACCTAAGTTCATTGACTCACGTTCGTGAATGTGCTCAACGATAACATGCAAAATTTGCCGACAGTCAACACCAGCGGTTTCTCAGATCGGGTCATGCAAAAGCTGAGCATTTTTGCGTACGATGGTGGATTATTGTACCAGTCGGTGTTGTAAAAAGTGTCGCGCAATTTGGCGCTCTGAGTGAAACAAGGAATGTTTTTCTTATAATCGATGACAGAAAAATCGCAAGACTTTTTCTCTTAATGAATTTCGCAACATGGCTGTATCCGATAGGAGTTGTTCGTTTAACTCCATCCGTTTAAGTCCGTTTATACTTCTCTATTGCATATCGAAGTGAAAGCATTGTGACCTTACTCCTAAATTTCTGTTACTGATCGAGACATAATGTCTAAAATCGGAACATAAAACTTATGATCTCTTAGAGATCATCTTTAAGATGTCTTTCAGACGATTTACGTATAAATGTCTTTAAGGCGTCTTAAAAATTATCTGTAAGACATCTTATGTCTTAAAGACATCTTATGTCCCGATTTTAGACAATTTGTTGTCTGGGAAATAGCAGAATGACGTCAAAAGATGTCATATTGACGCTGAGGACGTCATATTATCATCAATATTACGTCCTCTGACGTCATTTTGCCACTTGGGTTTCCATTAGGCGTACAATGAATTACAAAATGGCTTAGATTTGGGAACTGACTAAACTGTCAAAATCAAGGATCATTACTGATGAGCTACCTAAAAATTATATTAATATTATTATTAATTATTATTAGTAATATTATTTATTATTAGTATTATTAGTAATATAATTTATTATTATTGAATGCTCCTAATTATTTTATTAATTATATTATTTTTGCGTAAGTTTATCAATAATGATACTCAAATTTGACAGTTGCTGAGCTCTCAATAAATCGCTTCGCAATTGATTGGGGAAAAGAAAAGAATAAAATAATCATCTCGGTATATCTATCGACGCGATCTTTTAAGAAGGGACATTACGAAATTGGCTTTATAATTACCTCGGTAATGAGACACTCTCCTATATAGCAGTACGCGAGAATCGTACTGACCACGCAGCATGTGTATAACATAAAAATCACAGTGGTAGTGTTGTCGCCATATTCCGAATTCTGAAATGCAATTTTATTTTGCTTGTAGCCGACGATATCAGAAAACTTGAGTCATATAGAATTGAAATCAATGTAAGAATTAACATTGAATGAACATAATAACGTAACTAAATAACATAATAACGTTACTTAATATTTGAAACTTTCGCGGAAAAACACTGGATTTGGCTCTCAAATTAAAACCACGTTCTTTCTGCATTTACTTCCAGTATTATATTGCTACTTTCCCTAATGAAGTAAACTGTATTGTATATACAAGATATTGGGAACTATTCATCGAAAACGTGGATTTAACCTGAAAGCCAAATCCAACATAACGTTATTCATTCCCAGACAGCACACAATATTTTACAAAATATTTTAGAAATATAGATATTAAATATTTTATAAATATTCTAATGTCCGAGATTTTCAGACTTGAAAAAAATTATAATAAATATTTAAAAATATTTATAAAAAATATTTATCATAAATCTTTCATAAATCATAATCTTTTTTATTAAAATATTTATGAAAAATGTTTTTCATAAATATTTTTATATATTTATTGTGAAACTCACCGCGAGCGTGTGATACGTAGTTAAACAGAGCAAGAAAACAGTGCCCAGAGTTTGCTGAAGAAATATCATATTGAAATTGTTTTCCAAGATGTCTGCTAATCTGGAATGCGCTGAGTTCTTAAGATTATATTATATTATTCTCGACATCGAGTTAAACTGGTCATTGCGCGATTCTATAAGAACCACTTTCGTACGAACGTATGAAAGAAATCAAAGTTCGCCAAGAACGAAATTGCGGTTAGGAAATCAAAGTCACACATTAGAAAAGAATGGCGTGCAATTTTTATATATAATGAGAAGGATAATAATGTTTTTTGCAGTGTTAACGCACGCGCCGAGAGAGAGAACATTATTATCCTCCTCATGGTATATAAAAATTGCACAAACATCCAACATTAGCTGTTAACGGCCCTATTTCTCTCGTAAAAGAATGGAGAAAATCAGGAGGAATAACTGAAACGAATATAACCATGAATTTGACTCTACCAAATCGAATGATTCTCTTTTCTTTCTTTTAATAACACACAAATATGTACACAGTGTATCATGTAATCTTTCTTAAAGTGAATCAGTGAATAATCACTGATCAGTTATAAGTATAGCACTGAGCAGTTTCAGTGCTGCAAATCAGTGTATATTTACTGCTTTCGATGATGTTTCATTGATGCACTTTAAGAAAGATGATACATAGAATATGGACTTACGTTATTAACTTACGATGCCTCAACACGATGGTACCAATATGACGATTATAATTCACGTGATCTTTCAATAAATCTTCAATTTTGCTCGACAGGACGGCGAGTTGGCCACAAATGTGAAGGGCCATGCTGAGTACAAAGGAGTCTGGTGCGGAATAGCCGCAGACTATCACCGGCACGGCGATCGCCTGATAGGCGCACAAGCAGAAGTAGGTAGTCATGTCCTGGATCTCGAAGAACGGATAGGTCTGATACGGTAATTGATACGAAGCATTATGAGAAGATACTGTATAAAAAATAAAGCCACTTTTAGTTTTACTACCGCCATGTATTTGTCTCATATTGCGCTTTTTGCGAAAGCTATATGAAAATATATATTCAATTTTCCCCCTGCACGCTATTTTGTGTTCATTTTGCGTTAAATGAAATTCTCGTGGACTACAAGTGCGATGCAAGAGTATCACGTGTATTGATCAAAGTATCGATTCATCATACATACAGAAAAATATCATTATACTTCTAAGAAACGCGATTATTCAATTTACTTTGCTCCTTTGAAGTAATAATTATCTTCACCAAAGAATATTTTCTTAATAATAGTTTTAAGATATATTCATCTCGAATTTGCACAAAAAAGCTTATTTTCATGTGCCTAAAAGAAAAATTTATTTTTTTTTTAAAGAATATTACAAACCTAATCAAAGAAAATTTGGTTTGACTCTATACAGTATGTATTACGAGAAGATACTGTATAAAAAATAAAGCAACTTTTAGTTTTACTATCGCCATATATTTGTCTCATATTGCGCTTTTTACCAAGACTACATAAAAGTTTTACTACCGCCATATATTTGTCTCATATTGTGTTTTTTGCGAAGACTACATAAAAGTGTACATTTAGTTTTTCCCCCTGCACGCTATCTTGTGTTCATTTTGAGTTAAATGAAATTCTCGTGGACTATACGTGCGATGCAAGAGTATCATATGTATTGATCAAAGTATCGATTCATTATGCATACAGAAAAATATCATTATACTTCTAAGAAACGCGATTACTCAATTTATTTTGCTCTTTTAAAGTAATAGTTATCTTCACCAAAGAATATTTTCTTAATAATAGTTTTAAGATATACTCATCACAAATTTGCACAAAAAAGCTTATTTTAATGTGCCTAAAAGAAAAATTTATTTTTTTTAAAAGAATATTACAAACCTTATCGGAAGAAAATTTGGTATTCTATATAGTATACAAACTAAATTTTAGCATTAATTTAATATTCTTCATTGAAATGTTAAACTTACTAGTATTCAGAATGTATTTTGAATAAATTATATTAATTAATTAAATATAATTAATTATAAGTTACTATGATGAACTCTTGTGATAGAATTGCCGATATATAAACTTACGAAATACTTGAACTAATTGACACACGCTTGAATGCAATATGCACTTTTCTGTGTGTAAACATATAGAACGTAAGTTATTTGTTACGTATTGAAAAAAGTAACTTCTCATCGTTATCGTCAATTATTTTGAAAAATAATTCGTTACCATTTTTGTCAGTCAAAAAGTAATAAATCGGAATTTCGATCTTTCTGTTGAAAATAGCAATGACTTGTTATGTAAAATTAGTAAAATAAGGCGTTACAACTTTGATAAAAAAATAATTGCTTTATCAGTATTATGACTATCGGAAAAGTTGGCGCCGTGATCAAGTCGCTATAACAACTTCAATATTCAAGAAAATTAATTTGGTGCGATGACGGCATTACAAATAATTTGTTACTTCCCAGTCCTACTACGATTAAATGTTTCATCTAAGCAAAGAGGAGGGAGAGAAAAGAAAAATTCAAAACGACCTCGGAACATCGTTCATGAATTCCCGAAAAATATTAGCAAAAGTAAAGGCAGATATCTCCCTATCGTGTTTGCTCTTGATAAAAGCATTAATGCTTAATCATTACATTAAATTGCGCTCACACATGAAGCCATCACATTCCGTGTGCACGTCTGAATATACAAGGTTTCGGCACAAGCGATAACGCAAATTAGAATAGTCGTAAAGAAGAAAGAAATGCGCGACGTACTTACTCGCGCTCCAGCTATCAAAAAACCGCTCGATGAAGTACAACGAGGCCGCGAGTCCAGCCAAGCCTATCGACACCTTGATGAATATGAGCGCAAACTCGTTGTAACGCAGATACAACGTCTTCTCCCGTATGCTGCTGTAATTCTTTATCAAGAAATCTGACTGAATAGCGTTCAGAAATTCGATCATTATCCCTCGGCTTCGCTGGCATATGAGCATCTTGCCGACTATCATCACGAACAGAACATTTTCTGTCAAATTGGCGACGATGTATTCCGGCTGACTGAAATACTTGATCAGATGAGCCGCTCCCATGCTGCAATGTATCACTGTGTAGCTGCAGAAGAATACGAACAGTGGCCAATTTATCTTCATAGGCCATATGCCCAGAGTGGACAAGAACCATCTGTTCCACGATATTATATTGTACGCTTGATCGAATTGCACTGTCTGAAGTAGATAAAATTGGAAGAGTGTAGTGATGTATGACACAGAAATCGCAATGGAGATAGATAAGTCCATATACAAGTGGATAAATAGGTAGATAGATGGATAGGGATGGATATAAAGATAGATAAATAATAGAGATAGATGGATATAAAGATAGATAAATAATAGAGAAATAGGTAAACAGATTTATTAAGATAACTTTGTGCTTAAAATGATAAATACAAAACCATATAAATAAGATTATGTTATGTTTAATCTGAATTTCAATGTAAATCAATTTTCTTATTGTTATACGTTGATTTAGATTGAAATTCAGGCTAAATCTTATGTTATCGTTTTGTGTCTATCATTTTAAGCAAGGAATCCATACATCTAATCCTATGTAGAAGGAAGAATGTTAATGTTGTGAAAATGTTTTAACGTGCAAATCGTAAAATTTAATTACATATTAAACGAAGATACTTGCATCAATACACTTTATATGATTCAATAAAAAAGTGTATCTTCTCACTATTCGAAAATAATTTTCTTTAATGAAAAGCACAATATATTGGGTTAGTAAGATGGCGTTTTTAAATGTCGGAAAAATATGTCTTTTATCAGCAAAATAATTATATTATTCTTCTTTTGCGACTATTATAATATTTACATAAAATTATAACATTGTTAAAATTCAAGACTGTGAAATTCTTTTTTTTTTTATAAAATTATATATTATTGCTTATGTATGGAACAATGATTGTTAATTTGAATACATTTGTTTTAAACAGATATTACTTATGTGCAAATGTTCTAATTGTTTTTCTAATTGTTTTAATTTTCTAATTGTGTTAATTTTCTAATTGTTTGGTTTTTAAATACAAATATTTAAACTTTTAACATAAAAAAAAAATATATATACACATAGATTGAATGTATATATATTCTATGTCGAAAATTTAAATATTCTTTAAGTATTTAAAGACTAAAAAATATAAGAACGTTTAAGTCGAGTGTTCGGAAATTGGTACTTTTATGCGCTGTAGAATAAATTCCCTTCAAGCGCAAGGAAGAAAGAGTATAAATAAAAGTAAGAAGAAGAATGACAGTACCAAGCAAGATTAATAAGGGAAAAAGAGAGATACAGAGAGAGAGAGAGAGAGAAAGAGAGAGAGGGAGCGGGAGTAAGAGAGAGAGAGACGTAATTAAAAATTCGAATTCGCATACTTGCATGACTCGCGTGCGCTTTCGACGCGTGTGTACAGCAGACTGATCGCAAAAGTCTCGTGGATGCTCCGAAGTAAACTTGCCATCAAACAGAAAAGAACCGTCGATCATATAAAAACATGCAGACGATGTAATTTTCCTGAAAGATTAATAAAGCAGTCGTACAAGTTTCCTCGTTATCCCTCGAAATGCGACGTCGGAAACGGAACGTAATTGCGAGGCAATATTCGGCCAAAATGTCGCGGGCACGCCATAATTACAGCCTTCCTCTAACTTCTTTTCTCGTTCCGCGTATTACGGAGCCTCGTCTCATTGTCCTTATCATACGATGATATTAAAAGACACCATTTAGTCACTCATTGCAAATTCACCGTAACTACACGTTACGTTCGCCAGATGTTGTCTTCACAAAAATAAAAGGTGGAAGAAAAGAAAGGAAAAAGAGAATATTTTTGTGGTAGGGAACCATGTGACATTTGAGAGACATTGTAGTCGATGCGCAACCATTTAGCGGTCAATATCGCGAGTTAATGTTAATATTAATGTTTGTACAAATTAACATTTTTATCGTCGAGTGTTTTGCATCGAGATAATTATATTCCTTCAAGTGGAACAAATTAAATTAATAACGAGCGTTGCATCAATTGTACAAATCACTATTCGATCATATTATAATTTAAATCGGCAACATCTTGATCTCTAAATCCTTAAAAAAACGTATTCTTTTCATTCTTTCAATAAAATACCACTTGAAAAATACGACACAATCGCTCAAAGTTAAATTATTTTTTACTTATATGATCTGAAAAACCCTTAAATGGATTTCCACCATAAAATAATTTCCACATAAAAGAGTTTAATGCCAAAAATGTTCATATAATATTGCATATAATATTGCATAATATATATCAAAATTATACATAAATTAATAATAATAGAATTTATAGTAATATAAACATAAATTATAATAAAAAAACACGTGTTTCGTAGGCTTCTATCATCTGATACAGTTATTGGTGTATTCTCGCCATTTGCAGAAATTCATGATGCACGCCGAGATCGTGAAAATGGGGGAAGAACCATGCTAATCCATCAAGGATCCATTCACGTTTCTCATAATTGGTGTCAATGCCAAAGACGACGCTAAACAGGAGACGTTGCATAAAGTGAACTTAATCGTGCTTCCAGGAAGCTTCGTAGTCATCGTCAGTCCGGTAGATAAAAGTAGCTTGTTACACGCAATATTCCAAGAACTGTCGTTGGCAAGTGGAAGCATCAAGAGTCACGGAGGGATAACTATGTTAGCCAACAGTCATGGATCTTCGCCTCATCTGTCAAGCAAAACGCCCTGTCCGATCAGGAGATGGATAAGTCGCGTTACGATCGAGTGCCAGAAGGAGTCAGATATAAGCTCGTTTAGCCATGGTGACTGTAATATCGTAAACCTCAATCTACCAGGCTCGAGCGATCTACAAGGATGTCGATATTTATTTTCTGGACGATCCACTTTCGGCTGTGGACTCCTCTGTTAGTAGACGTCGATGAATGCATCTACTTCTTGAGAAGGTACTTTCTAAATTCTCCCGAATGAAGTTCCACACGAATTCTAATATCTTTCTATACGTATGAAGCAAATTCTTCACCTTAATCGTCGAGTTAATTTTTTATTAAAGAATAGAGAGCGAATCTAATATACTCCATTGTCGCAGGAACAAATTCGTTCTAATCAATTAAAACATTAATTTATATAGATAAAGAATCCACTCTATCACTAGATGAATTTGAGGCTTTCACGGCCATTGATACAATGTCTAGGTATAGCTTCCGGAATGGAGCCGTGTCTTGAATCAGCGATATGCCGACGTTTCGCAAACGTTGCAGTTTGCATCATCAGGGCTGAGAACTCTGATA